TATTTTTTCCAATTGAAGTGCCCCTCCCGGGGCTCGCAGCCTGTTTTTATCAGGGGAAGGCTTGCGGGTCAAAGTGGCCCCCTGGCCCCCGAACTACAACAACGGCTCCCGCTTTATACTTCATTGATTATTCCGACATCGCGCTCTCGCGCAGGCTTTCCTTACAATTCATGCAGGAATCGCTCTCTCGTGTGGGACTTCCTCGCAATGTATTCAATAGCCGAGCCTTCGACACTTAGCTGTCACGCTCTCGCTCTGGCCTTTCTCACGATTTACTTGGGAATCGCGCTATCGCTCGAGATTGCGAAGGCCTTGTGGCTGGTGCCGCCCACCCTGAAGACGACGAACATGAACACGAGGGGGAGAAGGAGCAGGAGGAGGAGGAGGAGGCAGAGGAGGAGCAAGAGGAGTGCGAGCAATGGGAGGAGGAGAAGGAGGAGGACGAGGAGGAGGAGGACGAGGAGGAGGAGGAGGAGGAGGAGGCTCGAGGAGGAGGATGATGATGATGATGATGAGGAGGAGGAGGAGGAGGAGGAGGAGGAGGAGGAGGAGGAGGAGGAGGAGGAGGAGGAGGAGGAGGAGGAGGGGGCCGTTCGGGCGCCTCTTGGAGCCTCTTTTGGGCCTCTTGGGGGCCTCCTGGGAGTCTCCTGGGGCCTTTGGGGGGCCTCTTTCGGCCTCCTGGTAGCTTTTTGGGGCGGAAGGCTCGGATTTTTGGTTCGGGCTCCCCGTCTTGAGCCCTTCTTGGGGCCCTCTTGGGCTGTGTTGGGCGCCTCCTGGGAGCCTCTTGAGCCGTCCAGAGGCTTTCTTGGGGTCCTCTTGGACCGTCTTCAACGCCGTGAAGGCCGAAAGCTCGTACATGCTACAAGTGTACGTTTTCTCATGGGAAATCAATGATTGTGGCCTCTTGGGGCCTTCTTGGGGGTGCTCTTGGAGACTTCCTGGGACGTCTTGGAAGCTTCTTGGACCGTCTTGGGGCCATCTTGGGCGTCCTGGTTTGATCTTTGGGCCACTCGGGGCCCTCTTGGGCCATTTTGGGGGCCGTCCTGAGCATTCTGGGCTCCATTGGAACTTTTCCAGGTTTCGGGGCCGCCCGAGGGGGAAACGAATCTGGGTGGCGACCCCTCCCAGGACCCCCCTCGGGACCCCCCCGGACCCCCCGGGACCCCCCCCCTCCTCCACGGGGAAGGGATCAAACGGAAGGGGTTTCCCTTCGACTCCGCTACGACGTTGTTCAATTTCGATTTGGATGGCGCGCTTGAGGAGGAGGAGGGCCCAGGGAAAGGGACCGACGGAGACGGCGAGGAGACGACTGTGACGACGACGGAGACGACGAGGAGACGACGGAGACGACGATTCGAACGGAGAAGCCCCTCACACACGCCGACAGTGTCGGCGGATTTCCTCGCGATTCATGCAGGACTCGCGCTTCAGCGACCCGCCTGCTCGACCTGGCCGCCTGGGCCCGCCTTCCCGACCCGCCCGCTAGGGTCTGCCCGGCCGATCTGCCCGTCTGGCTCTGCCACGTGGTTTCTGCTCCTAGGCCCCCCTCCTGCTAATTTCTCTCGTTCGGGGACGGACAGAACCCCCAACAGTGACACGTCGATTAGTGAATTGTCCGTTTTCGGTTCTCGAGAGGGCGCCGTGGCCGATATTTTCCAGGTCTGCGCCCGCCAGGTTTGGGCCTCGGGTCGTTTTCACTAAACCACGTTTTACTAAAGGGAGGTCTGTCCATCCCCGACTCGTGCTCCATCCTTCTACCTCTCCCTTTCCAACCGTCCTACCTTCCTTGTTTTGGGGGCTGCACGTGGCAGGCAAGGAAGATGTACCCCCAAGGGTGCACGATCGAAGACGAAGAGGGCGGGTACCGAGGTTTTGGGCTACACGAGTTGAATCCCACGCGAGCAGATAGGAACGAACAGTCTTACTGTTCGCTGCTGCTGCTGTTGTTGCTGCTGCTGCTGTTGTTGTTGCTGCTGTTGCTGCTGCTGTTGTTTTTGTTGCTGTTGGTGGTGGTTGGGTTGTTGTTGTCGTCGTCGTTGTCGTCGTCGTCGTTGTCGTCGTCGTCATTGTCGTCGTCGTCGTCGTCGTCGTCGTCGTTGTCGTTGTCGTTGTCGTTGTCGTTGTCGTTGTCGTTGTTGTTGTTGTTGCTGTTGTTGCTGTTGTCGTTGTCGTTGTCGTTGTCGTTGTCGTTGTCGTTGTCGTTGTCGTTGTTGTTGATGCTGCTGTTGTTGTCGTTGTTGTTGCTGCTGCTGTTGTTGTTGCTGTGCCTGTTGCTGTTGCATTGTTGCTGCTGCTGTTCCACGACGCGAGCGTGTCTTGGGGGGCGAGGGCCCCCAGAGGCCCCACACGTGCAGGCACTCTCCGCCGCGCTCCTCTCGCGGGGCGCGCACGCCCGCGGCCCCTCCCAACGCGCAGGCGGGGCAGGCCACGGCTGCTCCCCGGTGGCCGCCCGCCGCCGCTCGGCGCTCCCCGGCGGCGGCGCTGGGGAGCCTCTACCTGGCGGTGTTCGTCGACTTTGCGGGCGGGCTCATGGTGATGCCGCTGCTGCCCTTCCCTCGGTCGCAAGTCATGGGGGCCTTGTGCACCCTGGGTTTCTGAAGAAGCGTGGGGGGGGGGGGTAACCCCCCGACGGGGGTCCACGCCTCGTCGTCGCGCGCGCCGCGACGGGGGTCGAGGCGCCTTCGGCGCGCGGTGGCTGCCCGCGACGGGGGTCGATGTGGGGCTGTCGGCGGGGGTGACGCCCCCCCCCGACGCTGATAAAAAACTCGGAGTGCCCTCGCAGTTCTGTCTTCTAGCGTGAGTTAGCGTCGATTAGCGTCTGGGAGTCTATGAGATAGCGCCGATGCAGCGTCGGCTAGCGTCGATGAGCGTCGATTTAGCCTCGATTCGTGTCGAATTAGCGCCGATTTGCATCGATTCGCAAGAGCCAACAAGAGGGTATGGGAGGCTCCCATGAGTTGCCGCCGAACCTTCCTGGGGCTTGAGATGGGCGCCTCCGCCTTCTGGATCTCGGGGGAGGAGGAGGTGCCCACACCGCTGCCCTCCCCTCGTTTCGCCCCCCTGTTTTGGTGGGAGGCCTCCTGAAAGGCCCTCGTCGCCACCGCTGGATTCGCCTCGACATCCTCGTCAAAGAGCGTTCCGGAGCGCTCGGAGAAGGCCGCGGCGCCCGAGACATCCTTCAGAGCCGCCGGATCTCAGAGATCCTACATCTACCCACCCCCGAATTTGATCATCGCCCTGGCGTCGTCTTACTCGGCACCTTCTGGTTTCCCCCAGGATCAGCGGCATGGCCGCGTTCTTCTCGCTCGCCCAGATGTTCGGCACCGTGTTCATGGGCATGCTGTCCGACAGGCTCGGATGCAACCCCTGGGAGGTCCAGATTCTGACCTTAAGCCCTGGTCCGCAATCCGGCTCAATCCAGCCTGATCCCGTTTAATCTTGCCCAATCCCGCTCAATCCTGGCTGTTCCCCGGTTCATCCGCGGCCTCATCTGGCGTGACAGCCCTCCCATGCATGGGGCTTCGTCTGTCCTACTCCTTCCGACGAAGACCTCCCAGCAGTGGCCTCCTCAGACAGGGTCGGCCGCCGTAGGGTCGTGCTCCTCGGCCTCGGCACCACCGCCGCGGCCCTCTTCGCCCTCGCGGGCGCCGCGGAGGCCCACAGCTTCTCCGCGCTGCTGCTGCTCCGCGGCGTGAACGGCTTCTTCTCGGGCACGGTGGCTCGGCATCGCTCGGACGTGTGCGTTTTTCTCGGCGAGGCCGTCTTGGAGCATCTTGGGCCATCATGAGAGAGAGGGAGAGAGAGGAAGAGAGAGCACGCACGGAGCCGAACAGTTCACAGGGCATGGACGTCCGAGCGATGGCAAGGTGGGCGTGGCCCAGGCTTACATCTCGAAGGAGAGAACCTTCCATGAGCATGAGCTCTCGGAGCTCGGCTCGGATCTCTTGGATCGGCGCTGGAGCCCCCTGGCGGCGCCTCCGGCGCCGCCACCGGTGCGCTCCGCGCGCCGGGGGAGGGGGGCCCGGTGCAGATCCAGGAAGGCCGCGCGGAGCTTCGAAAGTTGGTGCCCGTGCCGGTTTTTCTTCCTCGGACGTCGCCGACCTGGTGGACCCTGGCGACCGGCTGCACGCAAGAGTGACCCTTCGCCAGAGTGACCTCTGGTGCGCGGCTCTTTTAGGGGGCCACATGCGAACCCTACCCCTACCCCACACGATTTCTCAGGGGGAGGGTGGGGTTCACTTCGCTCGGGAGCTCCCGAACGAAGTGAACCCCACCCTCCCCCTCAGAAATCATGGGTGGTAGGGGTAGGGGTCGCATGTGGCCCCCTGTCTTTGGGGGGCGCGTGGGGCTACAAACCGAAGCACGCAGGCAGCCGCTGCTGCATTGCACGCAGTGGCCGGCAGGCTGCGCACCGGCGACCACCCGTCGCCAGGGGGGAAGCGGGTCCTGAGGGAAACGGGTCCTGGGTTCGAAGGAGGATGGTAGCCATACCGCTCCCCTTCCCTCGTTTTCCCCTTTTTGGACCTCCTGGGAGGCCCTCGTCGCCACCGCTGAATTCGCTTCGAAATCTTGGTCAGAACGCGCCCCAGGAGAGGTCCGGGGAGTAGCGGTATCGGACCTTTTGGTTCCTCCAAAAAGTTTCTCGTTGTCTTCGGGCTCTCGGGTCCTTCCACGGCCCCGGGGGCTGTCAGAGAACGGCTCAGGATGAAGATCTCGTCCTGGCGGACGGCCCCTGGGTCCAGGACCCGTTCCCCTCAGGACCCGTTCCCCAATGCTAAACTCTTGCCCAGTGTCACCTTTTGCGTGTACAGTGCCGTTTTGAATACATGCTCCGCGTGCGGATCGTGTACTAAAAATGCAAGGATTCAGTATTCAAAAAAACGATGAGTTCACGCATAGATTTATTTATAAATTATTCATCATGTATTAAAAAATCAAATATTTTTAAACATCCTATGTATTGAAAACTGCCCTGTAGACGAGGCGAGCGGACCAGCGCCATGGGGAAGGTTGGCGCGCTGACGGGCCTCGGCATGATCCTCGGCCCGGGTCTCGGCGGCGCCCTGTCGGCGGGCGGCTTCGTCCTCGTCTCGGCCGTGGCGGCGGGGCTCACGCTGCTGAACTTCTGCCTCGCCCTGCTGTCGCTGCCGCGCGACCAGGCTGTGGGGCAGAGGCTCGGGGAACAGCAATCGGCACCACCCAAACATACTCATACTGTATACGATGTGTGCGCCGCCCCCTGCTGAATTTCTGCCTCGCCCTGCTGTCACTGCCGCGCGACCAGGCCGTGGGGCAGAGGCTCGAGGAACAACAGATCGGCACCACCCAAACATACTCATACCTATACGACCACCCTTCGGGTGATAAAGAGGTTCGGGGGGGGGGAGGAACCAACGTCTCACTCGATCGGTCTCACTATCGATCTCACTATCGATCTCACACTCGGTCTCACATTCGGTCTTACTATCGATCCCACTATCGATATCACAATCGATCGCATATTCGGTCTCAGTACCGATCTCACAATCGATCTCACTATCGATATCACAATCGACCTCACTAATGGTCTCGCAATGGAAATCACAACCGATCTCACTATCGATCTCACAATCGATCTCACTAATGATCTCGCAATGGATCTCACATTCGGTCTCACTATCGATATCACAAGCCCACATTCGGTCTTACAATCGATCTCACTATCGATATCACAATCGATCTCACAATCGATCTCACATTCGGTCTCACTATCGATCTCACAATCGATCTCACACTTGGTCTCAGTATCGATCTCACCATCGATATCAGTATCGATCTCACTGATGATCTCGCAATGGATCTCACAATCGATCTCACTATCGATCTCACTATCGATCTCACTAATGATCTCGCAATGTATCTCACATTCGGTCTCACTATCGATCTCACAATCGATCTCACTATCGATCTCGCAATCGATCTCACATTCGGCCTCACTATCGATCTCACTATCGATATCACTATCGATCTCACTATCGATATCACTATGAATCTCACAATCGATCGCACTATCGATCTCACTATCGATCTCACAATTGACCTCACTATCGATCTCGCGACGGGACACCAGCGGGACACCGGCGGGACACCGCGGGCCCCCGGCCGCCCGGAAGGGAGACATTTGGTCCGGCCGCGCCTCAGCCACACGGGACACCAGCGGGACACTGGCGGGACACCGCGGGCCCCCGGCCGCCCGGAAGGGAGACATTTGGTCCGGCCGCGCCTCAGCCACAGGAGACTTTCTTCTCGCCCGCCCACGCAGCTTCGCCTCGCCCTCACGGCACGCACGAACACGAAACCGAAATCGATTTCCCGGTAGGGGGGCTCTCCGTTCCACTTCGATCTCACCCCCTCACCTCCGTACTGTATACGATGTGTGCGCCGCCCCCCAGGGGCGACGCGCGCACCGAGAGATCTTCTAGTATGTGCGTCGTGGCCGGCGCTTTCTGGCCTCACCGCTCGGGAAGCGATTTACTGCACGATGGGCCTGCTGTATGTTCGGGTCGGACGCGCGCCTCCAAGGATGACATCCAGTGCAGGGATGTCTCTGTGCGTCCCAACAAACAGCGCAGGCCCAAACTTCCTGGGCCTCGCGCGGACTCCTTGGACCTGCGGCGCCGGGCCCTCCCCAGGGCGGCGCCCCCTGCCGTCCTCTTTCGGGTATGGCCAGGACCCTGGGTAAGGGGACCCCGTGCCCCGGAGCCTTTGAACCGGCCAGAGTCACTAAACCAGGCTTGCCGCAACTGGTGTTTCTCGGGGGACGGCCGTGCCGGCTAGTGGAGATGGGGCGGGGGGGGGGGCGCCCCCGGTGCAGATCACTAAACCAGGTTCCACTGAACCCAGTTCGGCCAACGCCCGACCCTTGAGAGAGAAAAAAAAGAAGAGAGGGAGAGAGAGAGCACGCGCGGAGCCGAACAGTGCACAGGGCATGGACGTCCGAGCGATGGCGAGGCGGGCGTGGCCCAGGCGCACATCTCGAAGGAGAGAGCCTTGCACGAGCATGAGCTCGCGGAGCTCCGCGCGGTTCTGCCACCGCCCGACTCTCGCTCCCTCCGCAGGCCTGGGAAGCCCCGGGAGCCCGCGCCGGGCGGCCGCGCCGCCCTCGCGGGGGCCGTGCGGGGGGCCCCGGGCCTGGCGTGCCTCTACGCGTGCCAGCTCCAGCAGATGACGGCCTTCGGGCTCTTCACGGGGGTGCGCGCGTCGAGGGGACAGAGAAGTCGCCACAGGCATGAGCTTTTGGCGCTCCGCGCGGACTTCTTGGACCGGCGCCTGGGGCCCCCCCGGCGCCAGGGCGGGGGGTTCGGCGCGGAACCAAGAAATCTGCGCGGAGCGCCAGTTTCATTATGTTTGTGTTGTTTTTTTTTCTTCCCCCTCTCAGCAGCACCCTGCTTGCCTCCAGGGGTTCTTGGGTTCCGATGGTTCTGCTATGGGTAGTGTGGCGCACCCACACCAAGAATCAATGGACGTCCTGGGGTCTCAGGGTTGAGTATCTCTAAGGAGGGGAAAACACACACAGACACAATTCATCGTCGGCTCCCCAGAAATATGGGGAAAAATGGGAAGTGTGGGGGGGAGACAAAGACCCAGAAAATATAGGGAAATATGGGGAATCCGGCTATTTGTGTGTATGCACTTGTGGGTCCCAGGGCCCCTTCAATCTCGTGGAAGGCTTCTTTTGGTCGTGGCCCCTTGCTGCATCCATATCCGCGGCCTCCCGGGTCGGGCCCCGGGACCGTGCGTTTTTTGTTGTTTGGTCTCGCGGGTGCCCCGCGCGGAGCGTATCTGTGCGACCGCGCATCGGCGGCATCGTGCCCCAGAGTCCAGCCCGCGAGCGCGCCGATATTATGCTCGCCGATCGTGAGGTGCTGGCCCTCTTCCTGCACGACGCCTACGGCACGACGGCCGCCCACATGGGCAGCATCTACATGGTGTCTGGCATCGCGATGGCCGTCGTGCAGGGCCTCGCCCTGGAGCCGCTGGCGTCCGCCCTGGGCCCGAAGCGGTGCCTCCTGCTCGGCAACGCCACCCGGCTGCTCAGCTACTGCATGCTGAACGTCGGGGGGACGCCAGCCACCTGCCTGAGCTGGAGGAGCAAAGCGCCGCACAAACACACGCTCAGGAACTTTGGCTCAGCGTGTCGCGCCGCCGGTTCTGGCCCACCACGCCTCGGCCGGGAGCCTTGAGACGGGGGTCAATGCAAACGGGGGTCAGCCATGGCACCGGATCCTGCAGGATCCTGCGAAGACCCCCTCTGGCTGACCCGGGTTAGCGAGCCGCTCGTGGCCGCGAGGCGGCCGCACATATTGGCCGACCCGGGTTTGCGAAGACCTGCGCTGCAGTTTTTTTTTTTTTTTCCTGCACTGCAGTTTTTTTGGTCTCCTGCTGACCCGGGTCTGGATTGACCCGGGTCAGAAGATCCCCGACTCGGCATGACTCACACTATTCACTCCCCAGTCCCCAGGCCGGAACGTCCCCGGGCCTTCCCGAGTCTTCCGCCCCGCCGAGCGGAGCGGCACGCTATATCCGTTTGCAGGGCCTTAGCGTGCCGCTGGGCCGCCGCGGCTGCAAGCTTGTGGAGGTCTGCGCGGATTTCGGAGGATTGCAAAAAAAACGAAGGATTGCAAAAAAACCAGGGATTGCAAAAACACCCGAAGGATTGCAAAAGATTGCAAACAAAACCATTTTTGCAATCCTTTGGATCGGCGCCGGAGGCCCCTCCTTGGAGCGCGCCGGGGGCGGCGCCGGAGGCGCCGCCAGGGGGCGGCAGCGCCGATGCCAGAGATCCGCGCGGAGCTCCGGCAGTTTTTGTGCCGGTGCCGCCCTTTGCCCCTCTGTGAGCTACGCCGCGCCGATGATGGTGGTGGTCGGCGGAGGGCTCATCTCGGGGGAGGCCCCGTCGAGGGTCCGGCGGCCCTCCTGCCTTGCCCATAGGGCCGCTCGAAAGCCGTCCCCGGGCCCCTCCTCGGACCCGCCTTTCGAGGCGGACCCCGCCGGGGCGGCACGAGGCCTCCAGGCGGAGGCCCGAGGAGGAAGAGAGAGAGGCCAGCGAGGACCGCAGCTGTCTCCATGGGGATCCGACGTTGCAGAACACACGCAGCATCGCGAGAGGCTGCGGCCAGAGCCCTCGAGCCCCCAGCTCTGGGCGCCACGCTTCGAGCTGGATCGATCCGTGAGGGTCCTGGGGCCCGAAGCTCGGCGAGAAGGCCTGGCGTGAACAGATCTCTTGCAGCGCCCGGACCTCGGGGTCGACCGGCCCCCCCCCGATGCTCAACCCGTGCCTGGCGTCGCTGACCGCCAGCAGGGCGCCACGCGAGCTCCGGGGCGCGGTCCTCGGCGGCCTGCAGGCGGTGGGGTCCCTGGGCCAGTTCGTCGGCCCCCTCGTCGCTGGGGCCCTCTTCTCGGAGAAGGAAGCCCTCGGACACCCCTCGCGTCGCGTGGACTCACGGCGAATTGTCCCGATACGTTTTCCTGTTCATCTGTTGTTTATACAGCCGGGGACCCCGGAAAACGCCCCTCCCCCCCCCCTAACGAATTTGGCCCACCCTGGGCCTCTCGGACAACTCGGAGAACCCCACGAAAGCCCGAAGCCGCGGCCGCAGAGGGCTCCAGGCGTTCCAGCGCGCTCCCGAAACGACCCCAGAGAGCCCCAAGACGGTTCACGACGACCCCAAAGAAGCCGTCACACCCCAAAAGATCACTCCAAAACGTCCCAAGAGGCCTCCAAGAGCACTCCCAAGAAGGCCCCAAGAGGCAACATTCATTGATTTTCTGATGGTTTTGGGTGAATTTTGGGGTTCTCCTCTTTTCGGCTTTCCGACGCTTTAAGACGGCGGTCTTTTGGGCGTCCGAAGCCGCCTGGGACATCCGAAAGGCCTTCCAGGCAGTCCAAGAGAGCCCCAAGACGGCACAACAGGGTTCCAAGATGGCTTACGAGAGCCCCAAGACAGCCCAAGATGGCCCCAAGACACCCTCCGAAGCATTCCACACTGCGACCCGGTCTTTCAGGGAGACCGCGGATGGAGGCGGGTGGCCCGAGCAAGCCCCCAGAGGCCTCCAGAAGACGCCCAGGAGGCCTCCAGAAGGCCGTGAGAAAGCGTGACAAACTTTTGCGAGGCCCCCAGAGGCTCTCCAAGGAGGGGCCTCCGCAGAAAGAGCTGAGGGGGATGGGGACAATACGCAGGGTATGGCGAGAATGGGGAAGAACAAGCATGGAGGAAGGATAACGAATAGCATTATTATAACGGCGATGCCAGAAAGGCAAGAAGGAGTTCTCGCTAAATTGTCGGCGTGATTTTCTTGCCATTCCGCCTGCATACCAAACCTCGAGGACCAAGGTGCATGCCGCGAAGCGCAAATGCAGTCTTGTATAGTATGTATATATGTCTGTATACATACATACACATATTCCCATGCACACCTTTATATGTACACATGCAGGCACATATGCATTTATTCATACAGTTACATACGCATATACATACATACATACATATTGTACACATGACGTGTATACACATGCATACACATATACATAGAGAGAGGGAGGGTCATCCACACATATATATATATATATGTATATAGATCTCAGTGTTTTTTCGAGTGGTTGTTCAAGTGCTGCATGTTGCTGTCCTTCTTTGCATTTGTCCATGTTCTGTATGTTTGCAGTTTTCGGCCTCTGGGGGCCTTCTCTGGGCACTGGGACCGTAACAACAATGACTCTGGACGAACAGCCGGTCCCAGGGAGTGGGTCGAGATCCCCGGGGGTCCGCGTCGTCAAAAAGTTATGACGTCGGGGGTCTGGGAAAACGGCATAATAACAACTCTCGGAGGTCCGCGCGGATCTCTTAAATCGGCGCTGGGCCACCCTCCCTGGCGCGCGGAGCGCGTCGCCGTGTCGGGGGAGCGTAAGACCCGGGTTTGCCGGGACTCGGGTTCGCCATCGTTTTTTGACGACCGCGACTCGGATTTTGACGAGGAGGAGTTTCGTGGGATGTCTGCAGCGGGAGGCCTCGTCAAAATGCAGGCTCGGCCTCGTCATTTTTTTGACGACCTCGTCGGGGATTTTCGAGTCCCCCGTACCCGGGTCTTACGTCTCCCCGACCGTGGAGCGCCAGCGCTGGTCCGAGAAATCCACGCGGGCCATCGACCGTTCATGTCCCCAGACATCCGGCTGCACTAATTTTTCGGTGCCTGGGCGCTGGAGGTCCGGACCGCTTTTCTAGAGTCAGTTTTTCGTCCCGAGTCGTCTTTTGACGCTCCCGAGGCCCGGCGAGGGCCTCCAGAGGGCAAAAACGGCCAAAAACCGCCCTCCCAACTTTTTTCGGAGCGTCGGATCTCTAGGTCTGTGCAGCTCTTCCTTCTTCGATCTTCGGTGTCGACGAACGCCTGCCGTTCTACGTCGCGGCGGCCCTCTCCGGAGTCGGCTGCTTCGCGACCCTGGCGGTCCACGAGTGCCCGGCCGGGGCTGGCGCGGCCACGGTGGCTGGCGCGGGCCCCGCCCTCGGCGCCAGAGGTCGCCCGACGCCCGCGCCGGCCGCGCCGAAGAGCGCCGCGCAAGAGCCGCTGCTGCAGGTGAGGGGCGGCGCCTGACCGTGCCCAGATCCCCGAGGGTGTGCCTTTTTCAGCCACGGCGTTTTTCCTCGATCTGGGCCCTCGGGTTCAGAGGAGGAAAACCCAGACACGACCGCGTCGTAAAAACATCAGGACGGCAAGTTTTTCGCTATTTTGGGCCCCTGGGGGCCCTCGCCCGTGGCCCCAGGGACCGTCAAGCAACGACTCAGGGTGACAAGCTGGCCCTGGGGAAAGGTCTGGACTTTCGGGGACGCGGTCTTGAAAAAATCAGGACGTCGCATGTCTGGGAAGGTACCCATACCGCCACCCTTCCCTCGTTGTTCCCTTTTTCGGGGCCGGCCTTCGTCGCCACTGCTGGATTCGCGTCGAAATTTTGGTCAGAACGCACCCTGGGAGAGGTCTGGGGAGTAGCGGTATCGGTGCCTTTTGGTTTGCCTATGTATGACTTTTCCGCCACGGCGCTTTTCCTCGATCTGGGCCGGGGGTCCGTCATCTTGGGGGCGGTCCAGAAAGGGGGGGGATGACCAGGGGGGGTGGATGTGATGGCGGGGGCTATGATATCCGCCCAGATTTCATGGCGCTTCTTCTCATTTCAATCTGTCCCCGCCCCCCCCCCTGGGCCGCGCACATGTCGCTGGCCATGATTTGCGCGCCCCTTTTCTTGGTCACCCGCCTCTTTTACGCTCCCGGTCAGCGGGCCCCGGGACCGTCAGAAACGCATTGGGGCCGGACAGTTGCCCCCACGGGAATGGGTCCGGAGCTCTGGGGTCGCGGACTTTGGGGGGGGGCAGCGCCAGGGGGGATCCGCTCAAGGAGGGACGCATCGACCCCCAATCGCCGATGCATCGCCGATCCGGGGGCTGATGGCCTACCCCGCACAGAGAAGTGCGGATTCGCTTTCGAGGGCCCATCGTCGATCTATCGGCGATGTATCGCCGATTCCAGGTCGCTAGTAGGACCTGTGGGATCTGTGGGATCCGTAATAGTTGTAGTACCTGCGATATCTGCGATACCTCTGGGTTCCAGTGTAATGTGTGAGACCCGTGGGACCCGTGGGACCTGTTGTGCCTATGGAGCCCGCGAGACGTGCGACACTTGTGGGACCTGTGGGACCTGCGCGACTTGTGGGACATGCGAGACCTGTGACATGTGTGGGTCCTGTGAGACCTGTAAACCTGTTGGGCCCGTGGGGACTGTAGGACCAGTGGGGCCTGGGGGACCTGTAGGACCTGCGAGGTCTGCGAGACCTGTGAGACCCGTGGGACCTGTGGGACTTTTTGGACCTGTGGTACCTGTAGGGCCTACCTTCGGAACCTTTGGGACATATGGGACCTGTTGGACCTGTGGGACCTGCGAGACCTCTGGGACCTGGGGGACCTGCGAGACCTGTGGGACGACCTGTGGAACGTGCGGGACCTGTGGGGCCTCTGAAACCTGCAAGATTTTTGGGACCTGTGGAACGTGAGAGACATACAGAGGCCTGCATGGGATACTTCTTGAGGTCTCTTTGGGCCCTCCGAGATCAGATCATTGAAGCATTTCTCGGGCGTCGCCGGGGGTTCTTTTGAAGGCGCCTTGGGGGCTTTGGGGGCCTCTCGGGGGCCTCTGGGGGCATCATGTGGGCCACTCGGCTGTCTCTGGGGCCACGTTGGCGGGAAAAGCTCGAAATGTCAGTTCGGATTGTCCTTCTTGGGCTCCTTGGGCCTGATTACGGGGCGTCTTGGGGTGTCTTGGGGCCCTCTTGGGCCGCTTTAGGGGCCTTTTGAGCCGTCTTGGCGCCCTCTTATGAGCCACTTGGGTCGTCTCGGAGCGATCTTGGGGGCTTCTTGGGCCGCCTTGCGCGGTCGGAAGCTTGAAAAAGCGAGAACTTAAACATCGATCGAACACCCAAAGAAATCAATGAATTTTAGCGTCTGGGGCCCTCTTGGGGGCCATCTTCAGGCTCTCGTGGGGCGTCTTGGAGGCTTTTTTGGCCGTGCTGAGACCAGTCTGGGCGTTCTGGAGTGGTCTTGGGCCGTTCCGGTTCTCCGCGGGATTTTGGCGGCCTGGAGGGGCCCCAGGGACCGACAATTATATTTTCTTCCCGATGGGAGCGCCCAGCACAGAACTTATGTACGGGGCGTGGGGGGTTTGTAACAATATGCGAGAAGAACTGTTCCGCGCCAGGACAAGGGGCCGCAACTTCTTGGCTGGACTGCGATGACGTCTCGAGTGAGAGCGCCGTTCCTGAGTGCAGGGCCTCTCTGGCCAGGGCGCCTCGGGATTTCTTGTGCGGACCTGTCGAGCGGGAGCAGCTGTCGTCGTTGTTGGGCCTCCGGCGTGGCTAGATTGAGGATGAGGATGAGGAGGAGGAGGAGGAGGAGGAGGAGGAGGAGGAGGAGGAGGAGGAGGAGGGGGAGGAGGAGCAGGAGGAGGAGGAGCAGGAGGAGGAGGAGGAGCAGGAGGAGGAGGAGCAGGAGGAAGGACGGGGACATATCGAGCGAGAGCGGCTGGGAAAGCCACACTGTCGGATGTGCCCGTGCCCGCCCGCCCGCTCGGCAGCCCGGCGCCCTCGGCAGCGCTGCAGCCCGCTGCGCGCGCCCTCCCCGCCGCTGCCGCGCGGCGTGCCGCGGCGCGCTGCAGCGCCGCTGCCGCGCGGCGTGCCGCGGCGCGCTGCAGCGCCACGGCCGCGCGGCGTGCCGCGGCGCGCTGCAGCGCCGAGGCGGCCAGCGCGGCCGAGGGCGGCCACTCTCGCGACGAACTGAGGTCCCAGAGCTCCTCGCGCTGTGAATGGGGGAACCAAAAGTGGCATAAGCATAAAAACTCGGAGGTCCGCGCGGATTTCTCGGATCGGCGCTGGACCCCCCTCCCTGGCGCGCGGAGCGCGCCAGGGGCGGCGCCGGAGGCGCCGCCGGGGCTTCCGGCCGCCGCTGTGGACGACTGGGGCAAACCCCGGGACGCTCTCTGCGGTGCGCGGCTGCTGAAGGGCACCCACAGGCTGGACCGCTGGGCACCGTCGAGAACGCGCGAAGATCTCGAGCCGCGAACCTCTCCAGATATCCGACGTTGCGAGAACGTCGCGACCCTGACATCCTGGCGTCCAATGTTCTTCGAGCCGGGGGTTCTGATGTGGTTTTGGGCACAGGGACTCACACACGTCAATCCGGCTTGAGAATGACGCAAGAAGAGCGGGTCCATGGCTCCGGTCGTGATTTCCGTGATGCTGCATGTTTGGGGCAACGCCATATCTCAGGGAACACATCGCACACAATCACGGCCAGAGCCCCAGGCCCCACCTTTCTGCAGTATTCTCCGAGCGGGACCGATCCGTGGCGGTGCTGGGGCCCGAAGCCGGGCGAGAGCGCCCAGTAGGAACAACTTGCAAGTCCCGGATCTCAGGGATGGTGTGCCGCTTTCGGGGGGCCCAAAAAGGTGCCGATACCGCTAACTCCCCGCACCACCTCCTGGGGTGCGCTCTGACCAGGCGAATCCGGCCGTGGCGACGGGGGTCTCCCAGGAGGTCCAGAAGAGCGGAAACGAGCCCAGACATCGGGCTGCTCCAATTTTTTCGATGCGTGGGCCCTGGAGGTCTGGACACCTTCCCGAGGGCCAGTTTATCGCCCCGGGTCGTTGTTTCACGCTCGCGATGTCCGGCGAGGGCCCCCAGATGTCGAAGGCGGCCAAAAGCCGCCCGCTCCAATTTTTGTCGGAGCGTCGATTCTCCTGGAGGGAACGGTCGAGCGTCGACGAACACGTCCGAAGTTCCCTGGCCTCGAAGGCCTCGAGCGCGCGCGGCCGGCCACCGCACCGAGGCGCGGGCGTTCAGCGAGGGCGCGGTGGCGCTCGACGTGGACGTGCGCCGCGCCCCGCGCCCGCCCTCGCCGCTGGGGATGTACAACTACGGCGCCGCCGCAGCGCTCGCCCCTGGGGGGTCGTCGTCGTCGTCGTCGTCGTCGCCGCCGCCGCTGCCGCCGCCGCCGCCGCCATCGGCATCGGCTACGTCGTCGTCGTCGTCGTCGTCGTCGTCGTCGTCGTCGTCGTCGTCCTTGTCATCGTCGTGGTCGTCGTCGTCGCCGTCGCCGTCGTGGTCGTCGTCGTCGTCGTCGCCGTCGCGTTCGTCTTCGTCGCCGCCGCCGCCGCTGTCGTCGTCGTCGTCGCCGCCGTTGTCGTCGTCGTCGTCGTCGTCGTCGTCGTCGTCGTCGTCGGAGCGTCGTCGTCGTCGGTGTCGTCGGGCCTTCCAGGAAGTGCGAGAGAAAACACGACACTGGTGGCTGCTAACCTTGCAGAACGGCCCCGAGGAGGAGGAGGAGAAGGAGAAGGAGGAGGAGGAGCAGGAGCAGGAGCGGGAGCAGGAGCAGGAGTAGGAGGAGGAGCAGGAGGAGGAATATGGAGGAGGACGAGGGACGAGGACCTCGTCCCACGTCCTCCTCCGCCCTCCTCCGCCCTCGCGCCACCGCGGATGTGCATGGGGGGCGGCAGAGAGGGGGGGTGCTGACCAAAGGGGGGGGGGCGGGCATATCATGGCGGGGGCCATGATATCTCCCCTGATTTCGTGGCGCCTCTTCTTGTGCCAATACGCCCCCCGGCCCCCCCACTTGGCCGCGCACATGCCGCCGGCCAGGATTTGCGCCCCCCCCTCTTGGGCGCCCCCCTCTTGGGCGCCCCCCGCGTGCAATGCTCGGCCCCGCCGCGGCGCCGCCCCCCCGCGAGGAGGATCGCGGGTCGAGGGGCAGAGGGCCCAGGGGCCGAGGGCTCGGGCAGCAGACCGACCACCGAACCGGTTTTACCCTCGGAATCGCAAGGTTCGCCGGATCTGCGGAAAATGCGTGGACTGTCCGTGAATCTACGAACGCTCTCTCTCTCTCTCTCTTTCTCTTTTCTCTCTCTCTCTCTATATATATATATGTATGTATGTGTTCTTGGTGGTTTCGACGGAGCAGGTCACTTTTGGGGTAGACCGATTCTGTGGTCGATCCACTGCTAGAAGGGTTGGCCTTCGGGGCCCCTCGGAGCTCCCCTCCGAGCCAGGCGCCGCAGTTTGTTTTGCAGCGGGCGTTCTCGCCTGGCCTCGGGCTCTGGGACCCTCACGGGTCGATGCGATCGAAAGCTCGCGCAGAACTATTGGGTCCAAGGCTCAGGTCGTGAGGAGGAGAAGGGGGAGAAGGGGGAGGAGGAGGAGGAGGAGGAGGAGGAGGAGGAGGAGGAGGAGGAGGAGGAGGAGGAGGAGGAGGAGGAGGAGGAGGAGGAGGGGGAGGAGGGGGAGGAGGAGGAGGAGGAGGAGGAGGAGGAGGAGGAGGAGGAGGAGGAGGAGGAGGAGGAGGAGGAGGAGGAGGATGGGGGAGGAGGAGGAGGAGGAGGAGGAGGGGGAGGAGGAAGGAGGAGGGAGGGGGGACGGCGGCGGCCGCCCAGCGCCTCCGGCCCCGCCTCCAGCGCCAGGGCGCCACGGTCGCAGCCGCTGCTCCGCGATGTTGCTTTTTTGGTAACGTCGGGTCTCGGAGTCGGCCCCTGTCGGCCCGATTCGGGGCCCCGTGGGGCGGCAGAGGGGAGCTGGCCGAGATCGACCCCGGGAGGGGCCGGGGGAGGCCCCCTCCCCGATTTGCCTGACGCGGTCGCAGCGCCCCCACGCTGGGGCGCGGAGCTCCCAAGGGGCGCCGCCGCGGGCGGCGCTGGGGTGCTCAGGCCAGCATGGGGTCGTTGCAGGGGCTGTCTGTGCGAAGCCCGAAGCCTTACCTAGGATGCAACTCGCGGGAGGTTAGATTCAGCATCCGGCGCTGGCATATCCGTGGTCAACCACAAGCCTAATGCCCCAGTTGAATTCAAGTTTCTTCGGTTGGGTCTGGATTCATCCGCCGGAATCCGTGTTTTTTTAGGCATATCCGTCTTAGTGGCCCCCTAATTTGAGACCGTGCTTCGATCCCCTGGCGAGTTTAACAGGCGTGACCCGTGTGGGGGGCGGAAGAGGAGGCGGGGGCCGATCACGTCACGATTCGCGCCGGCGCCGCCTGGGAGTCCCGATAGGAATGGCTAATACCCACACGGCGCTGGCGCGAATCGTGACGTGACTGGGGGATGGGGGGTGGGGGGCGGGGCCAGTCACGGGCGTTCTCGCGAGCAGTGAATTTACGCTGCCGCGCGACGCGCGGCCTGACGTCTTGGGGAAGGCGACGCGGTCAGCAGTGCCAGCCGCCTCGGCGCAAGTGTTGCCGTGGGTGCTCGCCGTGGGCTTTGCCGCGGTGCCGGCCTCGTCCACTTGGGGCGCGGGGCGCAAGGCTTTTGCCGTGGGTTTGCCGTGGTGTCGGCGTCGTCCACTTGGGCGCGTCGAGGACAAACGGCGCGGCGACACATATGGGCCCTTTGCTTACGAAGGCCTCCCAGGAGCTACCTCCTCGCTGGTCAGTCTGGGCCACTCCTCCCCCCCCCGCCAAGAGCAGCGGCCTGGCGGGAGTCGCGGCGGCCGCCGCCGCTGCCGCCGCCGCTGCCTCCTGACAGGAGCAATGGGGCATGATACCCTGAGATCCGGGCGCTGCAAGTTCTTCACAGCGGGCCTTGTCGCCCAGTTTCGGGCCCCGGGACCCTCACAGATCGATCCGGTTGGAGAAATGGCGCAGGAGGATTGGGTCCGGGGCCCTGGTTGCGATTTTTCTCGATGTCGCATTCTTTGTTTTGCAACGTCGGATCTCAGGGTATCCCTGGCCACCAGTCGAAAACCTGCCTACTTTGTCTTAGTCTCGCTTGATCTGGCTTGATCGCGCGAGATCTTGCCGAATCCCAGGTTTTCATCTGGCCTATGCAATCCCGAGCGCAACCCGGCCTGATCTGGATCAGTGGCCTTCTGATTGGACCTGATGGCCTGTCTTCGTTCTGGCGAAGACCTCCCAGGACCCAGACCCCCGACATCATGATTTTTTGATCACGTCGACCCCTGGAGGTCTCGACCCTTCCCCAGGACGACCAGTTTTTCGTCCTGAGTCGTCTTTTGACGGTCTCTAGGCCCGGTAAGGGCCCCTGGAGGTCGACAATAGTGAAAAACCTCCGTCATGATTTTCCATAGCTCGGGAGTTGCCCTCCAAATCATCTCCCCGCCCCGCCCCGCCCCCCAGGCTCCATCTCGTCAAAGCCGCGGTCCCTGCTGGCGCAGCGCGGCAAGCCCTCCGGCGACACCTCCCGGCCGAAGTACCGGCAGACCTCGCCCCGGCCTCGGTAGGCTCCGCTTTGAAGGGGTGGGATGAGAAGGATAAGGAAAAGGAGAAGGAGAAGGAGAATGATGATGATGATGATGATGATGATGATGATGCTGATGATGATGATGATGATGATGATGATGATGATGATGATGATGATGATGATGATGATGATGATGATGATGATGATGATGATGATGATGATGATGATGATGATGATGATGATGATGAGGAGGAGGAGGAGGAGGAGAGGAGGAGGAGGAGGAGGAGAGGAGGAGGAGGAGGAGGAGGAGGAGGAGGGGAGGAGGAGGAGGAGGAGGAGGAGGAGGAGGAGGAGGAGGAGGTGGAGGAGGAGGAAAGAGGAGCGCGTCCGTTCTGTACGGGGCGATCTCTCCCCTACCGGGGTTGTGTTGGGGGGGTTCGCCCGAACGGACGTTTGATGGGGCCACCTTGCGAGGAGGCGGAGGAGGAGGAGGAGGAGGAGGAGGAGGAGGAGGAGGAGGAGGAGGAGGAGGAGGAGGAGGAGGAGGGGGGAAGCCGTTCTGGTTCCTAAGTCTTCGGACGAGAAACCTGCAACAGCGAGCTCCAGGACGGCATGGTTGTCGCGGGCCAGGATCGGCTCGGCACTCCCAGTTTACCTCGTGGGGCACGGGCGCATCCTCCTCCGTTTCTGGGCGGTCCTCGTGCTGCAAACGGCGATCGTGGAGCAGCTCCAGCTCCACCTCCGCTTGCGGTCGGCCTCCAGCTCGGTACTTCAGGTTGGCTCGGGGCACAACCGCGTGATGGACGGCAGCTACTGGTGCACCCAGGCCTCGCTACGAGAACAGCCAGATTCAGGACTTCAGGAAGCAAAGATGGCGCTCGCGGCAATCGGACATGTTGATGGTGCCAGAGGCTACGAGCATATCGTTGCAGACCTGGAGTCCAAGACCCAGCCGAGTTCCCCGATTGTCGATGCTGCGCAGCATGCCATGGAGCAAGTTCGGCAGCAGATGGAGCGAGCAGCTGGGCGAGCTAAGCACTTGGTTGCGTTGGCGAGGGCGACGGCTGCGAAATCCTACACCAACTTTGTCCAATGCCAAATGGAATGCCAGGACATGGTTTCGAAGGTGGCTGGCCAAGTCATCCCGCAGCCTCCCGTGGTCAACGCCGACCGCCAGAAGATCAGTCCCTAGCGCTGCTGGACGGCGACGACCTGGAGATGGACGACAGTGGACTGTTCGGCCTGCGCGACCTGGATGGCGTCGAGGTGTCAGCGGCAGAGCTACGCGAGGTGGAGGAATGCAACAAGGTCCTCCTCGTGCTGGCACAGCAGGCAACGAAGGAGGCTTTTCGAGGCGCTCAATAAGCGCTGCGACCAGATGGCTTACGTAGGAGCAGCGCAGCTTCACCAAAAAGATGTAGGCCGAGCGTCGCCGCGGTCCGGACGGTGAGGCACGAGCTCCTAGCGCTGAGCAGGAGACTCCTGCTGCAGACGCGGCAGGAGCTGGAGCTGAGCAGCCTGCTCAGGCCGACGACAGCACAGGCGCCGCCAGCTCCCAAGGTGCTAGCGCTGCGGCGGCGCAGGCGCCAGCGCAGACAGTCGAGAACCTTGTCGAGCAGGCGCAGAAGTCCGCTCAGAGCACCATGGACGGCAAAGGCAAGGGCAAGGCCGCGTTGTCAGCCCCATGCGGTTCTGGCGAGGCGAAGGCTTCGCAGTGCAAGGTTTAACTCCAGGGAGATGTGCATCCGAACGGCCGGCGCCGCACTCTGGAGGCCGTGCAATCCTGCGTTGAGGCGCGCTTGCTCGATCGAGGAGGACCGATGCTCATTTTCGGAAGACAGTATCCCGGCGCGAAGGGGTCGCAGATGCTCTTTCTGCAGGAGATAGGTGCTTCGCAGATGTAGAAGATTGATTGCGAGAAGATCTTCAGGGACCAGGGCTCGCTGGCTTCCGTCGGGCCTTCTCCCGGGTATAGCCAGGACCCCTGGTAAAGGGGCCCGGTTAGTAGTGGGGCCCTGGAGCCCCCGAATTAGCCAGAATCCTTAAATCAGGTCTGCCGTGGCTAGCGTTTTGTCCGGCGACGGCAACTCAGGTTAGCGGAGCGGGGCACTGAACCAGGTCCCACTGAACGCAGTTCTGCCAGCGCCAGATTCTCGGGACACTGCAGCAGGAGGCCTATCTGGCGGCGCAGCTGCGGGAGTTCCTGCTCGCATTGGGCAACAACTCCTCCTGGGCGCCCTCGACGCATCAATCTCCCATCGTGTTTTGGTGATGTCGGTCAATGCTGTGGTCCCTGGCGGTTTCCTGGCTGTCTCTATCTATGCGAGGACTACGGATGCCTTCGGGCGAGTTTCTACATGCTGCCAAGGTACCTTACACTGTCGGAGACGACTGGAACGCTCCCCCGGATCTTCTCGGAAGGCTAGGTTGGGCAAGTAAGTCGGGAGGTCGCTTCGTCGATTCTGGCCCTCCTACGTTCGCTGCAGGGAAGCAGGGTTGGCGTGCGCTTGACCATTTTGTTGGTTCAGATGCTCTGGCGCCCTCGGTCGCGTATTGCGCTGTCTCGCTGAATGCGGCGTTGCGCCCCCGTCGGTCTGCCTTGCTGCGCGTTCGAGGAAATGTTGTACCTCTGTGTATCACTGTGCTCAGGGCCCCCCGAGAGTCTTTCGCAGGAGATTCCCGTTGGGCCCCGCCCGGCACCGCCGGTTGAATGGGGTGGAGGTATTCGGGGGTTGGGGGCCAGAAGAGACCATCACCAGCTTAACGGCACCTTTTCTCGCTTCGTAGGCATGGCGGAGCAGGAACTCCTGCGCGCGCGTGCTATCCCAGGAAGCAGGCGCCGCCGATGCTCTGGTCGAGGGCAGCGTTGGAAACTGCAAGCCAGCTCTGCCCGCCCCCCCGCCTCAGGTCACTGCCCTGTGGCCTGTCCTCTCAGCAAGGCTTGGAAGAAATGGGGAATTTGGGCTCAGGAGCTTGCTGGCATGCGTTCGCAGGACTCTGTTCAGGACGAGGTTGAGTCGGCCGCTCTATTCGCTAAGATACTCTTGGGCACGCCGGAGATCCGAGCTACTGATGAATGGAATGCCGTGGCGTACTTGTACGCAGAGCATTTTGCTCGGCGCGATTCCGAGGTGCTCCTTGATGTGCACGAGTGCGCCGGAGACTGCGCCAGGTAGCCGGGGGCGAGGTCTGCCGGCAACCGAGCGCGACAATGGAAGGGGGCATGCGCGAGTGGCAGCGCAGGCGGGGGCTGGCGAGGCCCGCCACTGCGCCAAGCTCCCGATCGGTTGGCGCCCAGGCTCGGCCATGCCCCCCCTCCCGAGGCCTCAGGAGCTCGTCGAGAAGAACCGACGGGATCGGGGAGATATCCGGGATTTGTCAGGTTCTCGAAGCAAGTCCCTGCAGGGCCCCGAAGGAGTGTACCAGGAGTTCAGGGAGTTTCCCAAAGACGCGCGATGCCCCGACATGCGCTCCAGCATGGAGCTAATTCGCAGCGCTGCTAGGGAGATGGAAGCGCGGGTGGCTCACGGCGTGGATGGGCGAGGTCCCCGAGATTTCCTTCTGCTGTCTGGTCAGTGCCCCAAATGCCCGTGGCGCCAAGGTGCTGCAGGGTGGTCTTTTGCCGTCGCGGATCTTGCCCATATCGCAGCCAGCTCTTCCCATGCCAGATGATACGGGCATCGGTTGATTGGTTTGCTCAATCTGGCGGTGCGACTTTGGAACGGGCGCGCGACGCAGGTGGCAGCTATTTGGGGCGAGCAGCATGAACGAGGACCCCCGCGCGGAACCAGAAGGCGGCCACGTGAAAGGGCGGTGCGTGACTCCTTCGGCACCGGCGTGATGCGTATATCGGACACAAGATTGCAGGCGCGTCGATCGTCAATTGCTGAAGGCATTTTTGGTTGTGCTCGCGGCTGGTCTTGCTCTGTTCAGTTCGCGCTCTCGAGCGACGAGGCGGCGGGCCCTGTCCACGCTGCAAATCGGCATCGGCAACTATGTTGTTCTGGGGGGGGGCTGTCTGGGGCCCATGGGCTCCTCAGCAGCCGATGCAGAGCGCGTCCCAGAATTGCTTTCAGTAGTTCCCCGGTTTGTGTTCTCAGGGTCCGCGGGCCAACGAGCGAGCTTGGTTGCGTGCTTCAGAGGGCTGGACGGGTCACCGAGACCAGTTTCAAGTGGGGCATGCCGATTCAGATGCTGCTCGATCTCTTTCAGTTTAGGACCGCCAGTTTGAAGCGCTTCGTCGACATCGCAATCAAGGGTGCTATCTGTCTGCTCGGAAGTAAGAGTCTTATGGCAACGCCTACAGCATGCCGATGCTGCGGCGAGTTGCGGACGCCTGTGAAACGCCCAGGCGCAGAGGAAACACTCTTGACGCCGGGCTTCTGGCAGCTCATGTCGCACGAGGCTTTGCTCCCCATGGTAATTTTTCCATGGTCGTCAAATTCCGAGAGGGGATTGCAGAGTCTGCGGGCATCCAGTAGGCGGAAGATTTCGCAGGCTCTTCGCAGGGACCAGAGAGATGTTGCCTGCATGGGAAGGGGGGGGGGGTCCTCAGGACCCTTTCCTAACCCGTTGCCTCCTTCCCTCGCCCATGGTGTTCTCTTCCCCCCCCCCGAGCGGACACATGGAGGTGGATAGTGCCTCCCCAGTCTGGCTTTGTAGAAGGCTTCATGTGCTCCGACGGCTCTGTTATAGACACCGGGCTATGCGTGCCAGCAGAGCGGGTTGGGCTTTCGCCGTGGTAAAGTGTTGAACGAGCAAGGGGATGCTTTGTCGAGTGCGCGAGGCCCTCTGCCACACTCGTTCCAGGATATGCATGTATGTATGCTTGTATGTATGTATACGTGTGTGTATGTATGTATGTATGTATGTATGCATGCATGCATGCATGTATGCATGCATGTATGTATGTATGTATGTATGTATGTATGTATGTATGTAAGTATGTATGTATGTATGTATGTATGTATGTATGTATGTGTGTATGTATGTATGTATGTATGTATGTATGTATGTATGTATGCATGTATGTATGTATGTATGTATGTATGTATGTATATATGTGTGTATGTGTGTATGTATGTATGTATGTATGTATGTATGTATGTATGTATGTATGTGTGTATGCATACATGCATGCATGCATGCATGTATGCATGTAGGTATGCATGCATGCATGTATGTATGCATGTATGTATGTATGTATGTATGTATGTATGTACGTACGTATGTATGTATGTATGTATGTATGTATGTATGTATGCAGGTATGTATGTATGCATGTATGTATGTATGTATGTATGTATGTATGTATGTATGTATGTGTATGTGTATATATGTATGTCTGTATTTATGTATGTATGCATGTGCGTGTTTTGGTATAAATATATAGAAGGCGAGAGAGAGAGACAAAGAGAGAGAGAGAGAGGAAACGATAATGAGAGAGAGGTATAGCAGAACTCTACGCTGTGCTGACGATTCTTCGGCACTCAGGGCCAGAGCACATTGCTCTTGGGACAGAGGTCCTCGCCAGAATTGTACAGAGGATGATGATGAGGAGCAGGAGGAAAAGGAGGCGGAGGAGGAGGAGGCGGAGGCGGGAGGCGGATGAGGAGGGGGCGGAGAGGGAGGAGGCGAAGGAGGCTGAGGAGGAGAGGGAGGAATACGAGGAGGAGGAGGAGGAAAAGGAGGAGGAGGAGGAGGAGGAGAGGAGGACAAGGATGAGGAGGCGGAGGAGGAGGAGGAAGAGGAGGAGGAGGAGGAGGAGGCGGAGGAGGAGAGGAGGAGAGGAGGAGGAGGAGGAGAGGAGGAGGAGGAGGAGGAGGAGGAGGGAGGAGGAGAGGAGGAGGAGGAGGAGGAGGAGGGAGGGGAGGGAGGGAGGGGGAGGGGAGGAGGAGGAGCAGGAAGAGGAGGAGGAGAAGGAGGAGGAGAGAGGAGGAGGAAGAGGAGGAGGAGGAACAGGAGGATGCGGAGGCGAAAGAGGAGGAGGAGGAGAAGAGGAGGAGGAGGAGGAGAAGGAGAAGGAGGAGGAGGAGGGGGAGGAGGGGGAGCAGGAGGTGGTGCCGCACCGAGGAACGGGTTCTACTTTCCCGGCGCGGGCTTGAGGCAGGGCCCGTACGGCTTCAGCATGATCGAGCCAATCCACATGACCCAGCACAGCTGGGCGGAGCGGCCGGGGGACAAGGACGAGGAGAGGGAGGGAGAGGACGGAGAGGAGGAGGATGAGGAGGAGGAGGAGGAGGAGCAGGAAGAGGAGGAGGATGAGGATTGCAGTGTGTCGTTGATGCCCTAAAGGGTAGGCGTAACCCCTGTGAATCGAATGGGGCACTTGGGCTCTCCCACCCTTGAAATAGGTGCTCGATGTTGGCACCAGGCAATGATGGGTGATGCGTGTAGCGCAAATCCTGTGGCAGCCACCTCTGCCTCGTAGCACCGTGACCGACGGGGTAAACTCGTGTGGGTCAGCCGTCCCATCATGAGGGGACGGCGAATGATGGACCCAAGCATGATGTGTGACAGCAACGTGTGTACATATGAGCCACGTGTTGTGTCAACATTGGTGCTGACAGAATGCACCAAACCGACTTCAAACACCAACGTGCGTTCCCATGAGGGGCACGGATTGTCCGCCCCACGGGGGGTGCAAACATAGCTCGGATTCCAAGTGGCCCGAAAACGTTTCCTGCACTTCGGTCCTCATGGGATGCCGGCGGAGCTTGTGCGCAACATGTCCGAGGCGTAGGTGTCCGCCTCCCGAGGGTGACACCGGCGGGCCGGTTGCGGAGCCTTGTGGCAACCTATGTATGTTAGATTTTCAGGTCGTTCGGCCCTCGACCAAGACCATTTAGAATATTGCCACAGTGAGTTGGCTTTTGGGGTAGCTCGGTGCTCCAGGGGCCCTAGCAAGACCAGTCAAACGATAGCGGATGGGCCAGCACGCCGGTTTGCAGAGTTGGCCGGTTGCTACGGCGAACTTGAGAGGACTGTTTTTCAGGGCATCAGGTCGGGTCGCACACGATTTTGTCCAGTTCAGTCCTGCATCGTGTTACGGACTCGGTGCTGCCCAGGAGGCGGTGGCAACGCCACCTCCTGGATCACCTCAGGCATGCAACTTTTGGGGCCCAGCTCAAACCCAGAATGTGGGCTGCTCGAGGCGGAGGTGGTGGCCCCGCCACCCCCGCCTGCGGACACAAACTGTCCGTGACCTTTGGCTCAAGGCCCGTTCGCACTGAGCGCGAAAATGGCCCGCTCCCGAATCGAAGCCGGTGAGCAAGAGCGCCTCTGCACTCGCTTCGTTATCTCAATGAACACAATATTGAGAGTACGAGTCCGACTTCCCGTGGCACCACACTCGAGGGAGCTATTGTCCATCCAACCTCCAGAGGCCCTCAAGCTGCTCAGGAGGCTCGCTAGAGGGCAAGACACCTCGGACGACACATGTACGGAGGAGAATCCAGCAGCAGCAGAAGCGGAGGCGGTGAAGTCGGACGGCTGGCACTACAACGCAAGGGGGGGACCCCCCCCCGCGTGGCCGATGGAGAACCAACGGCCAAACTGGGAACTGTCGTGCCTCCAGTCCTGAGTTGCCCCCCCTATCCCGAACAGGGCCCTCTAGGCGACTAGCACGCCTGGCGGGCTGCTCCTACCCGACCGCACGCCAGCGTCGAAGCCTTCCATGGGGGTGCAAACCATGGCAATTGACGCCCGAAGCGACGGAATCGAAAAGAGATTGGGCCTCAGGACAGGCCGCCGCTGAGGGGGGGGGGTCGTGTTGCGCGGGGCCGCAGCCACGGCGATGGATGAGTAGGACAAACCAAACGCGATATAGCAAAACGCCCGTGACAAGATTTTTCTCGACACCCCGCGCTGAAGCAGCCAACGAAGTCAAAACTAGGCCCACAGCGATGGTCAACTGCCGATGCGCCTAGCTATGCGGCTGCGCAAGAAATCGGCACGAGGAGGGGAGGTGAGCTACGATTGAATTTGTACCGACATCGGCACAAGTTCTTCCAAGCATAGGGCTGGGCCCCTCTTGAGATTCGGGTGTTGACGGCGACAGCAGTGCTGCTGAGGGCGCAGCTGCGACATGCCATGGCGGTGACTTCCTGCCCGAGGGTTACGACGAGCTGTGCTATGACATGGGCGGCTTTTCTGAAGCAGCAGTTCGAGGTCGCGACAGGCGGAGGGGTCGGCCCTGCGCAGCCCGGCGAGATGCGATTCCTCAAGATGATCATCGGCTACGCCGACAAGCTGCCCCGCGCAGAGGAGCCGGGTTTCTAGTGGGCGGCTGGCCCCCAACCGCGTGGGCTCCGCGGCGCAGCGGGCGCAGAAGCGAGGGGCAAGCCCGCCCCGGCGCCCGGAGCCAGGGCGGCGCTGCGCAGGTCAAGGGCGACGGGAAATTCTGGTGGAGTTATTTTCCGAAGAACGAGCTCGAGACGTCGCGGGCGCTGCAGGATCAGCCCCCTCTCGTCTCCCCGCAGGCCTGACGCGACGCACGCCGGCAAGACAGGCATGCGGCGCACCTCGAACCCCTATGTGCTCATGCAGGCTCGGGCGCAGAGGCTGGGGCGGCACAACGAAGGCAAACCCGCCCTTGCATGGCGTTGTTCACTGCAGCAGACGCCAGAAGGAGTGCGAGTTGATGGCGGTGGAGACGGCCCCAACTACGGAACTTCAGCAGAGGTCAATCAGCGGCGGAGCAGTAAGATGTGGTGACCCGACGTGGGATTGATATTCCGTGACCCAGTGCACGATTGCATTGAGTTCGGATGAGTCCGGGATCTATGAGATTGCCAGAAGTTACTTCGCGAAATTCAACGCAGCGCACCTGGTAGAGGCATGCGTCGCAGGATTGGCGCGTGCATGGCTGGACATCTAGAGCTGAGTTTTCTCTGGCTTCAAGAGCGACTTCGACTGGAAGTGCTCGAGCAGCTCGTGAAACTCGCGGATGAGACGACCGCGGGCATTCTCATGAAGTGCGGGGAGTGGCCAATGACTTGAAAACACCGTGCAACGTTCAACCTCAGGCCCCAGGGTTTGAGCGCAGCGGCGGTTCTGACGGCGGCAGCGGCGCCAGCTTCGGCTACTATGAGCGCGTTGGTGTGCTGGAGCAAGGGGAATGTGGCGGCTTGCGACGCGCAGTCCAAGTACGATGATGAGGAGTTTGGGTCATCCTGAAGATGATGGTGTTGGTGCTCGCGGTGGTGACTTTCAGACTCGGATGTTGTTACGGGTGCTGCGCGGGGGAGTTTTCCGCGAAGGTTTCGCAACGGGTTGCGGACAGTCCTGTGCCAGTTGTCTCAGGGTCATGAGGCGACGCAGTTGGACGCGGTCCAGTGCCGCGCCAGATGGGCAAAAATGCAAGGCGCAAGCATTCCGTGGCCTTTGGCCTGGTGGACATGCCGCTGCGTCTTCGAGCTAAGTGGCGAGCAGGCTTCTTGACAAAAGGAGAGATCCTGAGCGAGAGGCAAGGCAAGGCTACGCGTGGAAGCCACGCCGCGTGGGCCAGTGCCAGCAATGAGCCTGAGCGACCTGTTGAGTCGGGGGGGGAGCGCGGAAGTGGACTGATACAGCGAGAGGTGAGTGCTGAGACTGCTCGACAGCCATTACTTGATCCACAACGGGGGCAAGAAGGTGGTCGCAGTAAGGATTCGACACCGTCAAGGGGTAGTGAAAAACATGGGCGGTGCTGTTATACCCGCGCTCTGCACAGCGGTTGGACTCGCACGTCGGCGCGCGACTGTGCTTGGAGATCCACGAAGATGGTCCTTGCGTGCGTTGGCGTTCCGGCTGGCCGAGCCGCTCTCTAGCGCCCAAGGAAATGTACTGGGGAGTATGTAGTTCTACGTGTGCTAGCTTTTAAAGAACTATACGCAAGGTTGTTCCGCCGAGGAGCTGAATGCCCGCAGCCTGCTGTTTGGCTAAGAAATATGGACTTTCCTCCTCCTCCTCCTCGTCTCTGCTGCCGAGGGGGGAGGGCGGCTCGTGCAGATATTCCGACGGACTGGTTCGGCCCGATGCTTGCATGGAGCCAGTGCGTATCCTGGCGCAGCCGCTGCGTTTTGGTCTAGTCTCCGTGCCGATGCAGCCCGATCCGATGCACACTTCGATTCGGTCTTTTCTGTCGGTTCGATACTGGCTGATCTTGGGCGACAGGAGACGACGACCGACGAGCTGGCGCAGGACGGGACGAATACCGCGGATGGCGGGCGGACGACCGACGACGGCGGCGGCGAACGAACGCACAAACGAGCGGCGGGTATCGACGGAGAAACGACGGACGAACGACGGCGGCGATCGGCGATCGGCAGTGACGATCGGCGACGGCGATGGGCAGCGGCGGCGATGGGCGAGCTGCCCGCAGGCGGAGAGCGCTGGCCTCCCCACGCGCTGGGCGGGCGACGCGGGCGACGCGCGCCCCGCGCAGCCCGGCAAACACCAGGCGCTGTCCGGACGACGGCGACGGTGGCGGCCGACGAGCGACGACGACCGACAAGCGACGGACGATGACCCAGATTTCCAACGACACGATTCCCCGAACAGTGCTTGCACTCAGGAGTGTTTTCTTATCTTTGGAACTGGGCTCGTCGGTGAATTCCGCCGCTCTGTTGCCGCCGTCGCCGCTCCGTCGCCGCCTCGTCGCCGCCCCTCGTCTGGGCTCGTTTGTCGGGTCCGCCGCGTTGTTGCCGCCGTTGCCGCCTCGTCGCCGCCTCGTCGTCTGGGCTCGTTTATCGGATACGCCGCCTTGCTGCCGCCGTCGCCGCCCCGTCGCCGTCTCGTCGCCGCCTGTCGTCAGGGCTCGTTTGTCGGGTCCGCCGCCCGGTTGCCGCCTTGCTGCCGCCCCGTCGCACACATGTTGTACCACATTGGTTGCGCACCACATATACTGCACCACATACATGAGAACGTTAGTACTTAGCACATACACTACACCACATAGCTGACACCACATATCTCACACCACAAAAGTGAGTACGTCAGCTCCTACCACATACATTGCTCGTCATAGCTTACACCACACATCCCACATAGATGGGCACGACAGGTCCTACCACATACATTGCACCACATAGCGTACACCACGCAGCTCACGCCACATAGATGAGTACATTAGCTCCTTACCACATCGATGGCACCACATAGCTTACACCACAGAGCTCACCCCACAACTACTCACCACATAGGTTTGTTGCACAACATAGCTCACACCACATACATTGCACTACTCGATTTCCCTTATTAAACGTGGGAGGGCAAACGTCGGGTGCCATACTGGCGACAATAATCCCAGGGCATAATCTTCACGCCGGCGAAAATACGTCGCCCAATCGCCGGCGAACATTATGCACCATCTCAGGGTCGCCAATGATAATGGTGAGTCTAATGATTCTGATAATGATGATGGTGATGACGATGTTGATGGTGAAAGCGATCACACGATCATGAGGATGATGGTGAAAGGATGGAGCGTTTCTGCCAGATGCGGCGAATGTGAAGAAACGCGGGACACGTGCAATGCGCGAGTGCGGTTGCTGCATAATTGACGAACATCTGCATGATGCACCGGCAATTTTGCGAACGATATGTATTCATAGGCGCCGGCGAATATTAAGCGGCCATCTCGCGAGGGCCAGCGGTACATATTCTTCGGGGCCCAACGCCGGCGAAAATCAAATTGGTGCCCCAAAGCGCGCTGTGAAAATTACACCATCCACGTTTAACAAAGGAAATCGAGTACACACGCTGCAAGAAAATAACTGTTTGGGTTCCACGTCCCGTTGGTTGTGTTTGCTTTTATCTTTATTCGTTCATATCTATATGTATATATGTATATGCATCTATATATATATATATATGTTTAGATATGTGTATAAATATAAGCAATTCTACCTTTGGGGCCTGTCATCGGACCTCTGGCTTCATCAAAAACAGCTTCGGGCCGACGAAGCACCGCCAGGGAAGGGGTCGGGAGCTTTGTTTGGGGCTACGGATTGACAAAAATCAGATCATCGGATGCCTGGGGAGGGCGAGAGTCCTAATGTTCTTCGTGTTTGTTGGTGTTCTTGTTCATCCTGGCGTGGGTGCCATTATGTGTATGTTCTGTGTGTTTTGGCCAGCGGAGTGTCTCATGTTCTCGGAGGATGTTTTCCTGTCTTAGGTCCGGCTGTAGGCACAGGGGGGATTCTGATCTGAGAAGGTTTTGGAAGTTTTAGGAAGTCTTCGAACGTTTCCGGCGTGTTCGAGTCCTGGGTTGATCTCCATCAGCTGCGCCTCGTCGAGGGCGCTCCAGGGGTGTCAGAATCGTCCCGAACGGTCGGCGGAGTGTCGAATTGTGACCTGAAAGCCACCGGGGACGGGGATATGCACAAGGTGGGGTGCATCGACCGACACCCAGTCGCCCATTGATCACCGATAGGGGTCTGATAGCCCCATCCCGCCCGTGCACGTGCGGATTCATTGTCGGGGGCCTATCGCCGATGTATCGGCGATGTATTGCCGATTCCAGGTCGACGTCCCCCCCCCATACGCCAGGTCCCTCTTATCGCTGCCCCTCATCGGAGATTCCGAGCCGCGACCCCACGGATGCGGGGTGTTTTGTTCGCGGATGCTTTGCGCGGAACGCATCCCTGCGACTGCGTATCCGTGGGATTGCGCTCTGGAGTGCAGCCGACGAGGGTGTGGATACGGATCTGTCGCCGCGCCGTTAGTTCTGACTCGCGGCCTCACGTCTTGGGGAGGGCGCCGCGGGCACCAGGGCAAACGCCGCTTCGGGCGCGGTGGGCTCGCCGTGGGGTTTGTCGCGGTGCTGGCTTCGTCCACCTGAGGCGCGGAACGAAAGGTTTGCTGTGAGTCTGCCGTGGTGTCGGCGTCGTCAACGTGGGCGCGTCGAGGACAAGTGGTGCGGACAAGTGGTGCGCAGGACGGGGAGGAGGAGGAGGAGGAGGAGGAGGAGGAGGAGGAGGAGGAGGAGGAGGACGAAGACGAGGAGGAGGACGAGGGGGAGGAGAGGAGGAAGAGGATGAGGAGGAGGAGGAGGAGGAGGAGGAGGAGGAGGAGGAGGAGGAGGAGGAGGGGTCGGAGGAGTCGGAGGAGGGATGATGATGATGATGATGATGATGATGATGATGATGATGATGATGATGATGATGCTGATGATGAGGAGAGGAGGAGGAGGAGGAGGAGGAGGAGGAAGGGGAGGAGTAGGAGGAGGAGGAGGAGGAGGAGGGCGGAGGAGGAGGAGGAGGAGGAGGAGGAGGAGGAGGAGGAGGAGTAGGAGGAGGCGGACGAGGATGATGATGATGATGATGAGGAGGAGGAGGAGGAGGAGAAGGAGGAGGAGGAGGGAGAGGAGGAGGAGGAGGAGGAGGAGGAGGAAGGAAGAGGGAGGAGGGCGGAGGAGGAGGAGAGGAGCAGGAGGAGGGGAGGAGGAGCACAATCGGCGCTGCGACATGTGTTCGCAGCTCGTGAGTTGGGGAGGAAGAGGCGGATGATGATGATGATGATGATGAGGAGGAGGAGGAGGGGGAGGAGGAGGAGGAGAGACGGAGTTGGAGGAGGAGGAAGAGGATGAAGAGGATGATGCTGATGATGATGATGATGATGATGATGATGATGATGATGATGATGATGATGAGAAGGAGGAGGAGGAGGAGGAGGAGGAGGAGGAGGAGGGCGGAGGAGGAGGAGGAGGAGGAGCATGATGATGATGATGAGGATGATGAGGATGATGATGATGATGATGATGATGATGATGATGATGATGATGATGATGATGATGATGATGATGATGATGATGCTGACTATGACTATGATGATGCTGATGATGGTGATGATGATGATGATGCTGATGATGATGATGATGATGATGATGATGATGTGATGATGATGATGATGATGAGGAGGAGGAGGAGGAGGAGGAGGAGGAGGAGGAGGAGGAGGAGGAGGAGGAGGAGGAGGAGAGGAGGAGGAGGAGGAGGAGGAGGAGGAGGAGGATGTGTGGGTGGGCTAGCTTGCCAGAGATCCTTGGCAGGCGCGCAGCCACCAGGACGCGCCCACGCTCTCCCAGACGGTGCGGCCTTCGCGGGCGCACGACCTGCGGGCGCGCCGCGTCTTCGACGTGCTCGACAAACGCCGCGAGGCGCCCCGCCCTCCCCCCGCCGGGCAGGGCCCGCCAGGGCTCCGAGGCCGTCGGCCCAGGCATGCCTCGAAGAAGGAAGGACGCCATAAACATAGACTTTTGGTGCTCCGCGCGGGTTTCTTGGATCTGTTCTGGGCCCCCCCCCCCCCTTGCCGCGCCCCGGCGCCGCCTCTGGCGCGCCCCGCGCGCCAGGGAGGGGGGTTTGGCGCAGATCCAAGAAATCCGCGCAGAGCGCCTAAAGTTTATGATATGCCGTTTTTCTGTGTTCTTCCCGAGGCCGTCGGCCCAGAGACGCCCGCCGCCGTGAGCGAAGATCACAGTTGGTTTAGTCACGCCCCTGCCATGCCTCAGCCTCATTTGTGTGACCTTGCTGCAGCTATTCTGGCTGTGGTCACAAAAGGGAGCAGCACCCGCCCGCCCGCGCGCCCGCCGGCCAGCCGGCCCTCCTCCGATTACCGTGACCCTAGCCATAGCTTAACGGCATAACATAACACCACGCCATGGCTGCAAGGAGTACGTCACCGATACATCGCTTAGATCTGAGTATGAAGCTAGCACAAGAAGAAGATCAACACGAATAGCGACTACATGGTTGGCCGTTTAATCGTGCTGCGACGGCTCCCCCCCTGACGGAGAACTGGCAAAACATTGGTTACACACCGAAATATTTATCACCGATGAACATGATGCCATCAGAAAAAAGATATTTACATATTTGTTTACTGGATGATGTGCGAAAGACAAAAGACAAATGCCACGGCTTAGGTGTGAACGTTCCTGGAGCTGTTTCAACATACGATGTCGGAGAACCAAGTCAACGTGCCCATGCAAAGATCAGCTGGGACATGTCCCATTACGACGAGCATCGCCCGGACGCTCCGAAGGCCAATGGCGACAAGGAGTTCGACATGGTGCGAGGGTGGCGAACAGATGCCGTTACCAATCGCCGGTCCATCTGACGTTCCAAGTGAACTTTCGGGCGGTGGGCAGCACGTGGAATCCAAATCGTCAGAGGGGAACTTCCCCCGCAAATCGACGCCGAGACCGATTGCCTGCGGTGGCGCTCGTTTGTCGCAGATGGGGGGGGGGGCGAGGCCTATGGCATCCGATCTCCTGCTCCGTTGGCCGGCCATCTGCCTCCTACGCAGGTGCCCCTCGCCCGCGGCGACGTGGCGGCGATTCCATCTGATGGCTCGCTGGAACGGGGTTTCGAGGATGGCGTGGGGGATCAGCCCGCGGGCAGCCCGGCCAGGGCAACCAGCGCGTGAAGGCGCGAGACGGTCAGCCTTTTAGTGACGTCACCACTCGGTGAGCGGATTAGGTCCGACGGCGTTCACAAGGGCGGGCCTGTGTCCGCTCCAGGGGGGGGGGGGGGGCGCGGTAGCTGCGCGCCGGGCCGCCCCCGCATCCTGTCCAGATTGGCCATCGACCATCGACCGCGGCGCCCGAGAAGGCTGACCCGCGGACCCGCTCTCCCCGCGAGAAGAGCACGGAGAGGGACAGACCTGGGGCCCCGTGGCCGCGTTCGGAAGCGTCAGACCTATCTAACCTATCGAGTCGGTCGAGTGCGTGCAGCATGCGCATCAACCCAAAGCGCGCGCACTTCGGGCCGCAATGAGCCGCGGTTCCTGAGTCTCGGTGCCCCGGTTCGTTGGTGCAATGCAAGAAACCGGTCCGTCATGGGTGCCCGGATATTCGCGGCCGCTGCAATTTGAATTTCTTATCCCCGACCTGCCGCGCTCCTGCGTCGCATGGAAGTGCAGGTTCGCGCGCGAACGAGTGGCGCGAAGCTGAGGGGTAAAAGGCGCTCGAGATCATGGGGGCCAGGGAGAGAGATTTAGCTAAGATGCGAGAACAGCTACGACAGTCAGGGTTTCAGCAACAAGCTGCCGCTACTCTCCAGCTGGAGCGAGACCGGGGCGCTACGGCGAGCGCCTTCGGATTGCTCGAGGGGCGCCAGCAGGCGGAGGCAGGCGAGGGGGCCTTGGCGACGACGACGGAGATGAGGGAGCTCGCCGATAGGCTGGAGGTAGCTGTTTCATGTGTGCGCCGTGCGCAACTCCAGGAGAAGCACCCTGCCGAAGATGCCGGGCGCGTAGCCCGGGGGGGGCGGCGAAGCTCAGTTCGCGACAATGTCGCGAGCGGCCCGGGAGCTTCGACCAGCAGAAGATCGGAGCGCGCGTCGGGGGCGGCCGCTGCCGTCGAGCAGTCCGAGGCGGATCTCGTCGTTGCTAGTGGGGGCTATGCTCATTCTGCAGCTGAAGTGCAACGCGCTCGGGAAGAGACGCAGCTTGTCGAGGCGCGCGCCAGGAGGGGGGGGGCCATTGCCAGCGCTCGCGAGGCAGAGCAGAAGGCCGCGCAGACAATGAGAAGCCGGGAAGCCGAGCGGGGCAAGCTGCATCGCAAGCTGAACGATCATCGAATACAGTGGATCCCGTTTGGGGCGCCCATTGCGGCGTCATCGGGGGCCCGGTCGGCAGCGGGCCCAAACGCAGTTGCTGCGCGGGCTCCTCCGCCGCCGGCGCCGCCCGCGGTCGAAGGGCCCGCCTCGCAGAGGGGCGCGGCGCGTCGCCCTTGCGCGGGCGCGCTGTGGTGCTTCTATATGTCCCATGGTGGCTTCTCGCGACTGCGCTTCGCGCAGCAGGGGCGTTTGCGATGATCGCTTGGCCCCGGAAGACGAGGCGCGCGCGCTGCCGCTGCGGAGAGACGACGTGGACCGACGGCGCGGCGGAGAAGGCTCCAAAGAAAAGAAAGTTTGCGCCGGGGGCTGACCCACTTGACTGCCCGCCGCGGCCTGCGCCTGCCCGCGGCCCGCGGATGCGCCTCGGGGCTGGGCGAAAGTCAGGCGGACATCGCCGAGCCAAAGAGGTTTTTGGAATCCGAACTGGTCGCGAGGGCTGCAAATGTGGGACTCAAGGAATCGCTCGAACAGGCGACGCATCGGGAAGAGGGCCATGCCAGGAAACGGGCCGAGCGCAAGGCCGCGATCCAAGACATGGGTGAACAGCGAGCCGAAGCGGCTGCTGCGGCACTGCGGCAGACCCAGGAAACAGAGGCCACCCTGAGCCATCACGAGCTCGTATTGGAACTTCTTTTCTGGGGCATGCGCCGCCGGGCCCGGGGAGCTTGCCGAGCATCTTCAAGTAGAAGGGCAGGGGGGATGAAGCATTGCCCCTGGAGAAGGCACCGGGTCCAGGTCTACCGGGCGATGATGGCGGAGATGGCGATGACGGCGATGAGGATGATGAGAACTACTATTTTGAAGACGAAGAGTGCCCGACACCTGATGGGGGAGGGCGGCGACTCTGACCGCCGGCGCTGGCGCGGCGGACAACCGCCCGGTGGCGACCCGCCCGGAGGCGGCGGCGACGGTGGAGTTCCGGTTCCCTTGATGGACGTGGCCGCTGCCACTGCGCAGCGCTGGAATGACGCCAGTAGAGCTGGGGAAATAGTCTTGGGAGCGATCCCCGATGCCGCTAACCACGCTCGATTCGATGGCAGCGCAATATGGTCAGGACTGTAGCATCAGCGCCACCAAACTGCGAGGAAGCCGTCATTTGGGTAGGGGGCGCGTTCGATCTCGAGGACGCTGAGGCCAACGAGTTGAGGGGCTCTGGCCACTTTGCCTGGCTTGACCTAATGATTGCAGCGGACCTCATGGCAAAGGTTAACAATAGTCAGGGACAGGCAATCCTCGTCCCACCTCCGCCACCTGGCGAGTGAGATAGAAAGGTTAGACATCTCCACCCAAACCGCTCGGAATATGATGAAGGGTCGTGAGATTCTGCGTACCAGTGCCGTCCACGTGACCACCCGTCAGGACCGCGGTCAGGCGCGCGCGCGGGCCTTATGGAGATTGAGATCCGTAGTGCGGGCAAGGGAGCAGTTCGTGACCTTTTCCTTTCCTATGACGAGTGGGTGAGGACGCTCAGCGAGATGGAGGAATTGAATGACTCCTTCCGCCCCGCTGCACGGGAACATTTCTATCGACAGATGCAGAATTGCCCTTGCATGCAATGCGCCCCAGTGATCTATGATCATTGCAGCGACGAGTACGGTCATGGAGACTCACGAGCGGTTGCCATCGAAGGGCAGCGATTTCATGCGCAAGGAGCGCTGGCAGATCAACCGCGAATAACAGCGGGGAACGCCGAGCGCCCGCGGCCTTCCCGCGGGGGGCGCGGAGGGCCGCGGCGGGGGCGAAAGTGCCGGCGAGGGCGGGCAGAATCTCCGCATGAAAGATGCCTGCCTGAAAGTCGGTTCCCTGTAGCAAGTTCTTCCAGGGTGCGTGTCCGTACTCCCGATTTCAATGTCAATTCCTGCGCCCGATGTGAAGTGGCGACCCTGCCGCGCCAGCGCAGACCGCGCCTGCTCGGGCTGGCCGGGGTGGCGGTGAGAGACGCAGGGGAAAACATACAGACGAAGAGAGAGGAGGCGGAAAGGGGGGAGGGGCGGGGCGCGGCGGGAGGGGGGGGCGCCCCGCTAACCGATCCAAAGACGGCGGCAAGGACCGCGAGCGATCGCAGAGCCGCACTTCCAGCGTCAACCCCAAGAAAAACGGATTATGCGATGCATTCAGCTGTGGCCCCTGCCCGCCGTCGCCCGAGAAGCGCCCTATCGAGCGCGCGCGCTGCGAGGGGGGGAAGTTTCATCGTGACAAGTGCGAGGCGCGCATAGGAATGATCGGCAAAGCACTCTTCCTACCAGCACAGTCAGGACCAGATGTCCGCGCAGCGCAGAACGCCATGAAGACTGCTGCGCCTGCGCAAAACAACGACACGGACAAGTCGAAGGGGGGCGGCAAGGGCACGCACAAACGACAATGCTGGAGGGCCCTGGCCAGACAGGCCGGCCCATTCGGGAGGGGCTGTTGGGGCAGGGCCAATGCTCCTTGACATCCGTGATCTGACCAGCCGGCGCTTGGCGACTACGTCACCGGCGCCAGTCTGGCGGGGTCCAAGGCGGAACGCTACTGCCTTGCCCCAGGGACGGGAGTGCAGCAATGCGCCGCCCCCTCAGTTTTCTGCGCTTGATCAGGATTCCAAGAGCCGCCGCTAGGCAGGATGGTTTGCCTCGGTCGAGACTCTCGCGGGGATGGTCAAGGTCATGTTAACTGCGCATCTGTGCGCGACGGCGACAGTCTGGCTGCGCCAGCATACGAACAGGGCACGCGAAGCCCCCCAAATCTCAGTAATCACGCTCTCGCCTTGGATTTCCTCACGATTTATTTGGGAATCGCGCTACCGCTCGACACCTCCTTGCGATTCATGTTGGATTGACGCTTCAGCGACCCGCCCGCTCGACCCGGCCGTCTGGGCCCGCCCAGACGATGACGCTGCTGCTTCTGATGATGATGATGCTGCGGATGATGCTGATTATGTTGATGATGATGCTGATGATGATGCTGCTGCTGATGATTTTGATGATGATGATGATGGTGGTGGTGATGATGATGCTGATGAGGCTTTGGCTAAGGCTGCTGCTGCTGCTGCTGCTGGTGTTGGTGTTCATGATGATGCTGCTGCTGATGCTGCTGCTTTTGCTGCTGCTGCTTCTGTTGCTGCTGTTGATGACGATAATGATGCTGGTGATGATGCTGGTGCAGATGATGATGCTGCCGCTGATGAGGATGATGCTGATGGTGATGATGCTGATGCTGCTGCGGCTGATGATGATGATGATGATGCTGATGATGTTGCTGTTGTTGTTGATGATGATGATGACGATGATAATGACGATGATGATGATGATGACGATGATGATGATGAGGATGATGATGATGATGATGATGATGAGGATGATGATGATGATGATGATGATGATGATGATGATGCACGACGCCTTCCGCGCTCCGCACTGCGACCCCGCAGGAGACCTTTCTGGAGAAGATCTGCTTCGAGCGGGGCGTCTTCGAAGGCCCTCCCCTCGCGGTCGATGGGTAGGATTGGGGATGAGGACGAGCATCGAGGAGGGAGGAGGGGGTTTGGCAAGGCAGGAGGTGGAGGAGGAGGAGGAGGAGGAGCAGGAGGAGCAGGAGGAGCAGGGCAATGAGCAGGAGGAGAAGGAAGGGCAGGAGGAGGAGGAGGAGGAGGCGAAGCAGGAAGATGAGCAGGAGCAGGAGCAGGAGCAGGAGCTGAGTAGGATGAGGAGCAGGAGGAGTAGGAGGAGGAGGAGGATTAAGAGTATGAGAAGGATAAGGAGAAGGAGCAGGAGTAGAGGTAGGGGTACGGGGTCGGAGTAGGAGTAGGAGTAGGATGAGGAGAAGGTGGAGGATGAGGAGGAGGATGAAGAGGAGGAGTTGGAGGAGGGGGAGGAGGAAGAGGAGGAGTACGTAGGAGGAGGTTGGAGGTCAGGAGAAGGAGGATCAGGATGAGGAGGAGGAGGAGGAGGAGGAGGAGGAGGAGGAGGAGGAGGAGGGAGGAGGAGGAGGAGTAGGAGGAGTAGGAGAAGGAGTAGAAGTAGGAGTCAAGCTAGCCAGCTCGAGCGAGTTAAGCATGGCATGCCATTCCCACCCGCCCTCCCACAACATAAGAAACAGTGCCGGCGCAACCTGGGACCGAAGTCAGATCGGCAAAGTGGTTTGCCACAGTTGATGCAGCCGCGATGGTGGTTACCGATGGGAAATTCCTGGCGCGTCTCAAAGACTGCGCTGGCATTTCAGCACGAGCCGAGGAGGCCCCCGGAAGCCTCAGGAGGCCCCAGGAGGCCTCAGGAGGCCCTAGGAGGTTGCAGGAAGTCCTAGCGAACCCCAGGTAGCCCCAGGAGGCTTCAGGAGGGCCCAGGGAGCCCCAGGAGGTTCCAGGAGGCTCCAGGAAGCCTTCGGAGGTGTCAGGAAGCCCCGGGGACTCCCAGGAACCTCCAGGATGCCTCAGGAGGCCCCAGAAGGATCCACGAGGCCCTGGGGAAGCCCCGGGAAGCCCCAGGATTTTCCAGAAGACCTTGGGAGGCACAAGGGGGCCCTGGGCGCTCGACGAATCGGCGAGCGAAACATGCGCGCCGCACCTTAGCGGGAGTGCAACTTTCAGAAAACATGCGCGCGGCGCCGAAACGGGAGCGACATTTTTCTTTGTCGCGCGCGATGTGCACCGCGCCCCATTCTTGCCACGCATTTCGCAAAGCCGACGACAAAAAAGTCCTCGCTGAGAAGAAGCATGTCGACTTTGTATTAGTTTCTGCTAGGTCGGATGGCCGCTCCCGCTTGGGGTTGCCCCAGGACGTCGGCGCGCGATGTGCGCCGCGTCCCGTTCCTGCCACGCATTGCGTACTGTCGACGACAAGACAGGCCATGCTGAGAGAATACGCAAAGACTTTGTATAGATTCTTAACAGGTCGGATGGGAGGGAGGGCCCGTATTGACGGCCGCGCGCGATGTGCGCCGCGTCTTGTTCCTGCCACGCATTTCGCATCGCCGACGACAAGAAAGGCCATGCTGAGAGAAACAACAGTGACTTAGTTTTGTTGATTTTTGATAGTTCGGATGGGAGGGCACGGATTGACGGCCGCGCGCGGTGTGCGCGCGTCCCATTCCTGCTACGGACTTCGCATCGTCGGCGACAAGAAAGACAATGTTCAGAGGAAGAACGACGACTTTGTATAGATTTTCCACGGTTCGAATGGGAAGCCCCAGATGGGGCCGCTATCGGCCGGCCAGAGGGGGGAGTAAGAGTATATTCTAATAGCGATAGGAGTAGGATGAGGTGGGGGAGGAGGAGGAGGAGGAGGAGGAGGAGGAGGAGGAGGAGGAGGAGGAGGAGGAGGAGGAGGAGGAGGAGGATGGGGAGGAGGAGAAGGAGGAGGAGAGGAGGAGGAGGAGGAGGAGGAGGAGGATGGGAGGAGGAGGAGGAGGAGGAGGAGGAGGAGGAGGAGAAAGTAGGGAGGAGGAGGAGGACGAGGAGGGGGATGAGGAGGAGGAGCAGCAGCAGCAGGAGAGAGGAGGAGGAGGAGGAGGAGGAGGAGGAGGAGGAAGAGGAGGAGGAGGGAGGAGGAGGAGGAGGAGGAGGAGGAGGAGGAGGAGGAGGAGGAGGAGGAGGAGGTGGAGGGGAATGATGATTATGAGGAGTAGAAGGAGGAGGAGGATGAGGAGGAGGAGGAGGAGGAGGAGGAGGAGGAGAGCACGAGGGAGAAGGAGGAGGAAGGAGGAAGGAGGAGGAGGGAGGACGAGGGAAGACGAGGGAGGAGGGAGGAGGGGAGGACAAGGCGGAGGGGGAGACGAGGCTCAGCATGAGGAGGACTAGAGGGAGAAGAGGACGTGGAGGTGAAATGCCCGGGCAACTGTTCTCTCCCTTAGGTCGACCGTGCCCCTCCCTCCCTCGCTCCTCCCCCCCTGAGTGTCGAGACACCTCTCTCAGGAAGACCGCTCTCGGGTTGGGAGGCGGGGTCTGGGAGAAATGAGGTACGTAGTAACCTTGCCCGTAGGCGGCCGAAGGTAGCGTTCCTTGCAGTGAAGACGAACATACAGCAGAAGCATAAACGTTTGGCGCTCCGCGCGGATTTCTTGGATCCGCGCTGGGACCCCCCCGGCGGCGGCGCCAACGGCGCCGCCCCTGGCGCGCTCCGCGCGCCAGGGAGGGGGTCCACCGCGGATCCAAGAAATTCGCGTGGAGCGCCAACAGATTATGTTTATGCAGTCCTCTATTTTTATATTGCAACCGGATGCTACTGCTCATGCCCTTCAGTCTCCCAACCCCTCCCTCCCAACACGACAACTGTTCTCCTCACTCTCGAACGCTTCCCAGGGACCAGTTTTTCATCGAGTCGTTCTTGACGGCCGCGAAGCCCGGTAGGGGCCCCGAGGGGTCGAAGCATAATATGAGAACCGGCCGTGTCGATGTCTTCGAGGCGCTGGCCCGTCTGGGCCCCTCCTCCCCTCCAAGCCGACGGCAGGGAGAGTATCTAGATCTAGGCCCCCTAGATGTAAGTCGGGCATGTCCCTCTACTGTAGGAATATTCAAGAGTTGCAAAAAAAGCTCTGGTGACGATTACTCGAACTCTTCTTATTTTTGAATATGGTTTGATTTTGTTTCTTCCAAGACCCGCTTGTCGGATGACATACCCGACCTACTCCTAGATGGGGTCCGATCAGTTGGGGTCGGAGGATCGCGCCGAATCGCTGATGCATCGACGATGCGGCTCGACATGGAGGCCGTGTTTCCCCACGCTGGCGTCGCCGATGCATCGCCGATGCATCGCGGATACATCGGCGATGCATTGGCGATGCGTCACGATCCTTCGACCCCTACTGCTCGGACCCCATCTAGGAGGCCTCTGCTAGACCCAGCGTGCCGAGTTCGTGGCACTGCCGCCTTCCTGGATCACTTCAAGCATACAGCGTCTGATGGGTAAGGGCCCTTCCGCCCTCCATCACTCCTTTCCCCCCCCCCGAGAGAGAGAGAGAGAGCCCGCTCGCCCCAGCCCGCCCATGAAGGTGCGGATCCACGCCGTCGGGGGCCTGTCGCCGATCTGCCGGCGATGCATCGCCGATTCTGGGTCGATGCAACCCCCTTCGGTGCCACTTCGCCCCTATCGTTGCCCTCTGACATCCGGCGTCGCGAGTTTCTCAGTGCGGGGTCCCCTGAGGTCTGGACCTCTTCGGCTCTTCATCCGACATCCGACGTCGTTAGTTTCTCAGTGCGGGCCCCCCCTGAGGTCTGGACCTCTTCCCCGGGGCCGGCTCTTCATCCTGAGTCGCTCTTTGACGGCCCAGGGGCCTGGCGTTGGCCGTCAGAGGCCCACAATTGCGACAATCCTCCGCCTCGAGTTTCTCGAGACGTTGGAGGTCTGGGCTCCTCAGAGAGAGAGAGAGAGAGAGAGAGAGAGAGAGAGAGAGAACGAGAGAAAGAGAGAGAGAGAGAGATAGAGAGAGAGAGACTGTGTGCCAGAGAGATGATGTGCCAGTTGTCCACCACCACTACCATAGCCAGGACGGGGAGAAGGGAGGATGGAGAGGTCCTCCTCCTCCTCCTCCTCCTCCTCCTCCTCCTCCTCCTCCTCCTCCTCCTCCTCCTCCCCCCCTCTCCTACCCGTGGTAGTGGTGGTGGACAATGGCTCCTCAATAGAGAGAGAGAGAGAGAGAGATGACGAGGCAAGTGGACCGACCCGCTGCTCGACGGGGGCGCGGCGGTGCTGCTGCCGGACCCGGGGCCCGTGCCGCTCGGCCGCCGGCCTGCGGAGGGGGGGCGCCAGCGGGGGGGGGGCGCGGCGGCGGCCAGCAGGACCAGCAACAGTGACACGTCGATTGGAGAACAGGGGTTTAGGGTTTAGGGTTTAGGGTTTAGGGTTTAGGGTTTAGAGTTTAGGGTTTAGAACCCCCAACAGTGACACGTGAGGTGGGCAGAACCCCCAACAGTGGCCCGCGGGGCGAGGGGGACAGAACCCCCAACAGTGACACGTCGATGGGCGAGTTGTCCGTTTTCGGTGCTCGAGAGGGCGCCGTGGCCGTCGTTTTCCAGGCTCGTGCCCGCCAGGTTTGGGCCTCGGGTCGTGTTCACCAAACCACGTTGTACTAAAGGGGGTCTGTCCACCCCCGAAGGGGGGGTGATGAGTCGGGGCAGGCCTTGCGTCGGGCACGAGGAGGCATCTGCGGCGAAAAGAGTGAAAACATCGTCCAGGGAAGATGTGTCTGTTGTTTTTCGACTACTTGCCCGTACTTTTGGACTCCTTTCCATTCGTTCGTCCAGAGCCCGCCTGCCGGAGGACACTGCCCGACCCGAGGCAAGCCCAGGGATCCGAGGATTGAACTTCTTCGGTCCGAGGCTTTTGTTTTCCTGGAGTTCGGCCTCCGGGGCCCGCGGATCGGGCCCAGGGGGCCATCAAGAAGGGGTCCGGGACGGAGGGGCCGGGACCTCTGGCGGGGAGCTCTGCCTGGGAGGGGGGGCTATGATCAAGTCGGGCCTGTCCCTCTACAGGGGCAAGATTCAAAAATGGTAAAACAATAGTTTGGGGATTATCTTAAGAGTATTTGGGGGCATCTTTTGAGCATTTTCGGAAGATGCTTTTTTTTGCCGCCCAAAATCCCCCTGTAGGGGGACACGCCCGACGTAAGTCTAGGACGGCGGGGCCGGGACCCCTGGCGGGGAGTTCCGCCTGGGAGGGGGGGGCTATGCCTCGGGGCGGGTCTTCGAGCGGTCGTGGCGGATCTCGGCGGCCTTCCAGCCTCGAGAGGCTCTCCGGCAGCTGCCCCTGGCCGAGGGCGCCCCGGGGGGGCCCGCATGCTTTGGAGCGGCCGCCGGAGGCCCGCGGCGTGGCCCGAGACCGCAAACATGCTCGCGGCGTCTTAACATAAGCACGGCAGAGAGTTTCGCGACGTTTTCGGCCTGCGGGGGCCCTCGCGGGCCTCGCGGGGCCCGGGACCGTCGCGAAACGACGCACGAAACGCCGGCCCTGGAGAAAGAGTCGAGTTCCGGCGACCGCATATGAACAAAAATCAAGACATCGCATGTCGGGGGGCTCAGCTGGGGCGGCCAAGCGGGGTGTGTTGACTCGGAGGCTCGGGGTTTCGGGGGTTGCTGGCGCTTTCCTCGGTTCTCGGCGGTCTTCCGGTCTCGGGACGCTCTCCGGCAGCTGCATCTCGCTGAGAGCTTTCCAGGGGTGCCTGGATCATCCTGAACCGCCGCTGGAGGCCCGAGTTATGCCCCGAAAGCCGTCAGGCGTCGAGGGGGAGGTCTGGACCAGGGTCGGCGTCACACCCACATACTGCTAATCACGATGTGTCCGTCGCGCCCCCCACGGGCGGCGCGCGCGCGCCGAGAGATCTCATAGTTAAAGCTCCGTGACCCGCGCGTCCTGGCCGTACCGTTCGGGCAGCGATCTACCACCAGATGGCTGTGCTCTCTTGATCGGGTCGGGCGCTCGCCTCCGAGGAAGACGCGCAGTGCCAGTATCTCCTCCTGCGTCCCGGAGGGGCGAGGGGGCTGGGCGACAACAAGGGGGGCCACGGCGTCAGTTCTCATTTCAAAACATCCGCTGGTCTGCCCCCCCTGCCCGCGCACATGCCTTGGGCCCCAGGCCACGATGCGGACCCCCTCTCCCGGACGCCCCCCGCTCGGGCGCCCCCAGGGGCCAGACGAGGAGACGAGAGAGGGGAGGGGGGGCAGATAGAACGAGGAGGTGGGGCAGAGGGGAACGAGGGAGGGAGAGAAGGGACGGAATACCCTGAGCTCTGGGAGGCGGGATTAGAGGGGAACGAGGGGGGGGGGGGAGAAGGGACGGAATACCCCGAGATCTGGGAGGCGGGGCAGAGGGGAACGAGGCAGGGGGAGAAGGGATGGAATACCATGAGATCTGGGAGGGGGGGCCGATGGGGAACGAGGGGGCGGGGGAGAAGGGATGGAATCTGCCCCGAGGTCTGGGCGTGGCACTTCTTCGCACCGGGCGCTCTCGCCCGCCTCCGTTCCCGCCCCGCAGATGCCGCAGGAAGATAGGGTTAAGTCGGGCTCGTCCCTCTACAGGAGGAAAATTCAAACATAGTCAAAACTAGTCGGGAGATTATGTTTTAGTATTTTAGACTATTTGGGGGTGTGTTTTGAGTATTTTTCATTTGTCGTCGGAAATCCCCCTGTAGGGGGACACGCCCGACTTAAAGATAGGGGCCCGGACTGCGGTCGCGTCTTGTCGCGGTGTGTTTGTTTTCGCAGCGTCGGATCTCGGAGTCACGCTAGAGCTCCAGTGGACTCCACTGGACCCCATTGGACGTCTGCTGGACTTCCGTCAGACCTGCCCTGACTTCATGGGGCCCCTCTTGGCTCGGTCTAAAGATCCACGCGACTTCATTGGGCTCCATTGGACTCCGCTGGGATGCGCACCGGACTCCATTGGATTCCAGTGAACTCCATGATGAGGGATGGGAGGGAGGGAGGGAAGGAGGGAGGAAGGGAGGGAAAAAAGAAGGCAGTAAGGGGTGGTAGTGGGGTTGATGTTCCGTGATGGTGTTGTTGCAAGCGATGACGCCGCCGCCGCCCCCGCCGCCGCCGACGACGACGACGACGACGGCGACGGTGACGACGACGACGACGACGACGACGACGACGACGACGACGACGACGGCGACGACGACGACGACGACGGCGACGACGAGGAGGAGGAGGAGGACGACGACGACGACGACGACGACGGCGAGGGGGCGGCGCGAGAGCGCGAAGATTACAGTCGCGCGCCGCGCACGGCGGGGCGCGAGAGGGCGCGACGCCAGGGGGCCCAGGCGCTCGGGATTCTCGAGACGTGGCATCCCTCGGACGCGTGCCCTTATTTGCTCGGCATGAGCCATCGAGGAGCATGCTTGCTCACTCTTCGAAGAAGAAACAACGGCATAAACATAGTCTTTGGGCGCTCCGCGCGGATTGCTCGGATCCGCGCGGAGTCCCAACAGCTTCTGTTTATGCCGTTGTTTCCTCTTCTAATGTTTGCTCACCCTGCGCAGAACAAGGGCGCGCACGAGACGACCGAGCAAAGGCACGGGGAGGGGACGAACGGACGTCCGAGCGATGGCGAGGGAGAGGGCGAGGGCGTGGAGGGTGCTCGCCCGCGGCCCCCCCCCGCCCTGCAGGACCCGGAGGAGAAGCACGACTACCTCCAGTCCGAGCGCCCGGGACTCGGCAGGGGTGGGCGCCCCGCCCCCCCTCCTCCCTGATCGATAGCTCTGCACCTGCTCTACATCTCGAGAGCTTCGAATCGAGAAATCTCGATTCAGCAAGAGCGGTTGTAGAGTCAGAATGTTTTTTTTCGATCATAGCTCGCGTAGCAGACTGACCCCGTCGCGTCGTGAACAAGATCGCGACGGGAGGTTTTTGTTGGCGCCATGCTCGGCCTCCGGGGGCCCTTCCCAGGCCTCGGGACCCTCAACAAAACGACTCAGGACGAAGAGCCAGTCCCCGGGAAGGGTCCGCCCTGCTGGGGGCCACGCCGCGAAAAACCAAGCAACAATCGGCGTTGGGGGCTTCTGGGGCTGCACCGCCGAGCCCCTCCTCCTCCTCCTCCTCCCCCTCCTCCCCCTCCTCCTCCCTCCTCCTCCTCCTCCTCCCTTCCTCCTCCTCTCCTCCTCCTCCTCCTCTCCTCCTCCTCCTCCTCCTCCTCCTCCTCCTCCTCCTCCTCCTCCTCCTCCTCCTCCTCCCCCCCCCCCTGAGATCCCGGCGCTGCGATTTTTTCTCCCCGCGGGCGTCCTCGCCCGGCGTCGGGCCTCGGGGGGGGCCCTCGCGGAGCGATGCGGCTCGAAACGATACGGTGCCGTTTTTTAATACAGGCTCCGCGTGCGGATCGTGTACTAAAAAATGCAGGGATTTAGTATTAAAAGCAACGATGAGTTCATGCATACATTTATTCATACCTTAATCATGTATTAAAATCAAAATACTATATGTTTAGATCGCATATATATATATATATATATATATATATATAAACTCTGCCCTGTATGGCGCAGAAAGATGGGGCCCGGGGCTCTGGTTGCGATTTGCTGCGATGCTGCAGTTTTTGTTGGGGGGAGCGTCGGATCCCAGGGCAGGCCCTCCCCGGGTCGCCGCAAGAATCGCGGCGGGAGGTTTTGGGCCGTGTCCGAGGAATGCCGAACCCCCGGGACTCCCTTATGGGACCCCTCTCCCCCCCGCTCCGGGGACGGGATCATAGGGGAGGGGCTTCCCCCTTTGACGCAATGAGACGTGGGTCTGTTCATGTTCGGCGACGGGCTCAGGGAACGGAGCGAGAGTGGCGACCTCGATGTGGGAGCGGTGGCGTCGACGACGAGGCCCTCAACGTGGCAGCGGTGACGTCGCGAAGGCGAGGCTCACGACGAACAGCGCCTTGGCGACGACGAGCCGCGTTGTCCACACGCCGGCAGGGTCGGCGGATTTTCGGCCTCTGGGGGCCCTTACTGTGCCTCGGGACCGTCAAGAAACGAGTCAGGATGAAAAACACTTCCCGGGGAAGGGGTCCAGCCTTTTGAAGCTGACGTCATGAAGCAAAATCATGACGTCGGGGGTCTGGGCTGGGGTCACGGCCTTTGAGACGTATGCTGTAGAGGTGACGTGGCCTCTGTGGTGGGCCGCTGGGCGTTCGAGACCTCCGTCCCCTACGTGCCGAGCAACACATACATGTGCGGAAGTAAGGGGCGCCGACAGGGGAGGACTGGCCTAGGGGGAGTACCGCCCCCCCAAGCGCCAATCGGGTCCTGGTTGTCCCTTCCCGCACAGGAACACGCTGACCTGCTTTCGAAGGCCCATCGCCGATCTACAGGCGATGCGTCGCCGACCTCGAGTCCAATCGATGACAATCATGCCCTTAGGTATCCTACGGCAAGATTTCTTATCGTATGTGTCCGCTGTGTCGCTCCAGTCGGAATCACGCGCAACACGATCCAAAGCTTACGTCCGCGATCCTCGAGCCTGCCCGGCACCGGGGCATCCGCCGGCGCCGAGGCGACGACGAGGTGGCGGCGAAGCGGAACGCGTCGCGGATCCTCTTCGGCCTGGAGAGGGCCATGCGGGAGGGGCGCGGCAACCTCCAGGCTTCCCGGTTGCCCCGAGGGCCCCGGTCTGCCCTTCGACCCTCGGTACCCCCCCCCCTCCCTCCTCCTCGTCCTCGTCGTTGGTCATCATCCCTGTCCTCCCCGTCTGCCCCCTCGCTCCCCTCCTCCTCCTCCGGCTTCTCCTTCTCCTGCTCCTCCCCAGCGTGGGCCCCAAGCAGTGTGTTCTAGCATGCTGTGTAGTGCAGCCAATGTGGTGCAATGCATACACATGTAATTATGTGGTGCAACATACGTGGTGCAAGTTATGCGGAGCAATTTACGTGGTGCAGTAGATGTGGTGTTAGTTTTGTGGAGCACCATATGGCGTGCGCAGTCTAAGTGGTACGTTCTACGCAGTGCAATATATGTGGTATAAACTATGTGGTGCAATCGATGTGTAGCTAATGCACTCATCTATGTGGTGTGAGCCATTTGGTGTAAGCTATTTGACTGGCGGGAATGGTGGCAACAAGCAGGCGGGACCAGCACCAAGGCCCAGTACGGGGCGGCGGCGACGGGCGGCGACGAGGCGGTGACTGCAACAACAAGCGCGGCGACCGACACCAAAGCGCAATGAAGCGGCAACTGACGGCGGCGTCGGGCGGCGGCGGCGACAACAAGCGAGGCGACCGACACCCAGGCCCAGAAGCAGCGGCGAAGGATGGCGGCGACGGGCGGCGACGGCGACACCAAGCTGGCCGGACCGACACCCATGCCCAATTCCTCTCAGACCAAGTAGAAGCCCCTAAGTGCAAGCATTGCTCGGGGAATGAAGCAAGCTGCCCACCCGACGCCCGACGCGATCGCGTCTGCGCTCAGTGCAGCCCGTGCCCTCATTTGGCGCTAATCGTCTCCTGTGCCGCTCGCCCGTCCGCCAAATCATCTCGGCTGAGTCGGGCACTTCAGAGATACGCGTCGCCCCGTCGCCCCCCAGGGTACTGTCACTCCTCCTCCTCCTCCTCCTCCTCCTCCTTCTCCTCCTCCTCCTCCTCCTCCTCCTCCCCCTCCTCCTCCTCTTCCTCCTCCTCCTCTTCCTCCTCCTCCTCCACCTTCTCATCCTCCTCCTCCTCCTCCTCCTTTTCCTCATCCTCCTCATCCTCCTCTTTCTCCCCCCCTGGCGAGCGTGGGACATTCTCCAGGCTTCCGTCGTCATCTCAGGCGGCTGGGCTGCTTCGCACTGGGCCCAGACCGGGTCCATGCTGCAGTACGGCTGGGAACTGTTGGATAGCGTGTCGCTCCGCTGGTTCTGGCCCACCACGCTTCGGCGCGACACGCTATCCATTTTCCGGTACCCGAGCGCCAATTTTTCCAGCCTTTCCCAGCCTTCGCCCCGCGGAGCGGAGCGAAACGCCACCCGCTTGCATGGCATAGCGTGTCGCTGGGGCCGCCGCAGCGACACGCGAAGCAAACATTCCCGACGGTACCTCTTGTCCGTGAACACCGCCACGGTCTCTGCGCCCAGCGAGCGGCTGCAGCGGCGCCATTGGGCTGCCTAGGCGCTGCAGCGCTGCGGCTCGCCACGAGCTCGGTGCAGCCGCCGCCTCTCCCCGCGAAGGCCCGCCCGCAGCGAGCTCGCGCGGGTGCCGCCGCCCAGGCGCTTGTCCCAGAAGGGCCCCAGAACACCATCTGAGCGACGCCTCCATATGCAGCCATTGTCTGTTGGTGCCTCCACGTGCAGGTGCCTCATATAGCGTGATGGTGTGACGGCATTCGCGTCTTAAAGCTGGTAGATGAGCCTTGGTGTCCGCTCCCATCTCCCCCCTCCAAAAAAAACATCCGTCGCCGCCTCCGAGCATGGTGGCCAGACCAGGCGGTCCCTGCCAACCTCCGCCAGAGATGGCTTCGCCTCCAAGCCCAGCTCGCGGTCGCTGCCCTGGGCACGTGCTGGGCAGCCTTGCGCACCCTCGCCAGCGCTTGGCCCACGTCTTGCTGGATGCACGTGGGATAACACCACCCTGCGTGTCCGTGGAGCTGCGAGGACGGCGCCGGTCAGATCAGATCTCGCACTACGTGCAGTGTCGCGACGCTTGGAGGTGCGTATGCGTTGCTTCGCGCACCATCCTCGCCCATGCATGCCCCCTGCACTGCCTTGGGCTGGGCTTGCAGGAGGACTGCGCCGAGGACCCGCAGGGCGCCAACGGCCCTCGCGCTGTGGGCGCCGAGGAGGGAGCGAGGTGTGCGGAGGGGGGCCCACCAGGATGCAGGCTTGCAGGCCGTCCTCGCCTTACCCTGGGATCACTATTTCCCTTGTCCGCAGAAGCCTCAGGAGCGGGTCCAGCAGGTGCGGCGGCCGCAGATGGTGGCTCAGGTTCTTGTGGCTGCTGTTGCTGCCCATCAGGGTGAGGAGTGCCGCCAGCGGCGGACGCTGCGGCTGGTAAGTCACCAGCGGCAGCTCTCTTGCGCTTGGCGGGGTTGTTCGCGGACTCCTTGGCCTTGTGCTGGATCTCGCGGCCGTGCTCCTGGCCGTCGTTCCTTGTCGCGTTGGTCGATCTCCCGCTTCCACTCCTCCACCTGGGCCCAGGTGGTGTCGTCGTAGAGGGTGAGGTCATCCGAGATGGTGCTGTCGACAACGAATGTGTCTGGCGATCCTGGTGCTGCAGTGCCCCGCGCAGCTGCTCCAGCGGCTCCACCGAGTTTGGCTCTGTGATCTTCTCGTGCTTTGGCGCAGGCATTCTTGGCCTGGACGAGGTCGAGGGCGCCTTGCTCTTGTCATGCATTGGCGTCGTTGAGCCATTGCTGCGCCTCGGCGACCTCGTCGACGGTCTGCTGGAACTTCTTCTCCCGGTTGGTGAGGACCGATAGCGCCGACTAGAGTGTCTGCTTCGTTGTGCGCGCAGGCTGTGGCTTGACTGCGTCCTAGAGAGCCTCCTTGAGCTGGCCAGCGAGGTCTCCATGTTTCTCGTCGTTGAGGAGGGCCTTGAGTGCTCCGAGGATGGCGTCCTTGCCGGGGGGGCCCAGCCCCAGCGTCTCGCTGGGTCCATGCCACGGCGGCCTGGTGCTCCCAGCCCACGCTCCTCCGGGCTGGCCGTGCCGCTTTCGGCGCCGAGCGCATGTTGGTTGCTGCCGACGTGCGCGGAGACCCTGTGGAGCTCGGCGCGGCTGACGGTGCCTGCGGCAGGCTTGAAGAGGACCTCCTGGAAGACGGTGGGGCGCGCTTTGCCCCCGCCCGTGTCCGACGCGATCAGCTGCATGTGCAGCCAGGGCTGCCGGATGAAGGCAGGCAGCTGCTGGCAGGCCCACATCGATGCCCTCATCGATGCCCACATGATGCTGCTGCTGCTGATGATGATGCTGCTGCTGCTGCTGCTGATGATGATGATGATGATGATGATGATGATGATGATGATGATAATGATGATGATGATGATGATGATGCTGATGCTGATGCTGATGCTGATGCTGATGCTGATGCTGATGATGATGATGATGATGATGATGATGATGATGATGATGATGATGATGATGATGATGATGATGATGATGATGATGATGATGATGATGATGAGTTGGAGGTGGATGTGGATATGAAGGGGGAGGCGGCGGGTAGGGGAGGATGAGTCGAGGGGGGGGGAACGGGATAGCACGCAGGGCCTGATCAGCCGGTAGCGACCCGCAGAACCTCTTCCGGGCGGTGAACAAGAACACGCCCAATGTGCTGGAGACGGATGAACTACTGGCTGGCATCATCCGCCTCGGCATCGTGCAGCCAGGCGGCATTGACATGGAGGGGGGCGTTGAGGGGCAGGAGGCAGGGATTCGAGGAGGGAGGGGGCGAGGTGAAAGGAACGATATCCATTTGCCTGCGGGAAGTCCCGCCATCGTGCCAGGAGGAGAGGGAAGAAGAGATGGAGGAGGAGGGGGCCGGAGGGAGAGCGAGGAGGAGGAGCAGGGGAAGGCAAAGCAAGTGGAAAAGCAGTTGGACAAGACAAACGTAGAACAGCTGATGGTGCTTAATTTTGCAGCTTTTCTACTTTTCCACTTTTTCACTTATCCATTTCCCCCAACAAACCATATTCCATGTTTTCTCACCATTCCATATGTTTTTCTTTTTTCCCCACTTTTCCACTTGCCAAATTCCTTTCCCACTTTTCCATTTTCCACTCTTCTAATTTTCCAATTCCTTTCCGCTTTTCCATTTTCTACTTTTCCACTTTTCCGCTTTTCCGCTTTTCCGTTCCCTTTCCACTTTTCTATTTTTCTGTTTCTGTGTCTGGCGTTTTCGCGCTAACCGAATGAGTCCAAACTCTTTTCCACAAGTATCGTGGGTGTCGTGGAGCCGTCTTGACCCCGTCTTGGGCAGTCAAAGGGCCTTGTGAGGCCGTATTGGGTCCCACGCGAGGCCCTCTAGGGCCGTCTTGGGGCGGTCTTGGATGCCTTTTGGGCCCTCGTGGTGTTCTCTTGGGCCTTCTTTGACCCTGTCGGAGCCTTTTGGGCCGTCTTGGGGCCATCGTGGAGGCTTCTCTTGGGCCGTCCTGAGCTGCCGGAAGCCCGAAAAGGCGAGACGGACCCTTTTGGAGGTTCTTTTGGGGCCTTTTGGGGCCCCTTGGAGGCATCTTGGGCCCTCTTGAGGCCATATTCGGAGATGCGCCCCCAAGAGATGGTCCTTCGGCCTAGGCTCCATCTTGCCTTGGGCTTGCTTTCGATCTTCTCCCCCCCCCCATCCAAGGATACGTATGTCGGGATATGCCGGGCATGTGAAGTTTACCTTCGCTGGGCTGATACGGCGTGCAGGGCGGGGACCCCAGAGGTGCTGTTGCAGGGGGGAATCAATTTCACCAAAGCGTCCGGGCTTCCCCGGGGCATACACTTGCACTTGAAGTGTCCGGGCTTACACCCTGGGCATGCACATGCATGTTCTTTCCTTCAGGCGTAACATTCCCAGCCAGCATCTGGTCCAAATTTAGCAGCATGCCTTCTACGCAGCCCCCCCCTGTCCGATGCGGACAACGGCATTTGTCCGAACTCTGGTACCATTTTTCGATGTAATCTTATGGCTTCCCGAGTCGACCACGTGGACCCCAGCTGAGATCTGAGCCCCTTCCCAGGGACTGGCTTCGCATCCTGGCCGTCCGTCGCCCGCCGCCCGTCATCCTTGCCGTCGCCATCACCGTCGCCGCCGCCGCCGTCTTTGTCGTCGTCGCCGTCGCCGCCGCCGCCGTCGCCGTCGCCGCCGCCGTCGCCGCCGCGGCCGTCGCCGCCGCCTTCGCACCCTGGCAGCCCTGCGGCGCAGCAGTCAGCAGTTTTTTTTGTTGAGTGCCCGGTGGGGTTCTTGGCTCTCTGGCCCCTCTCCTCGCTCGCCTGCGCTCCCTCTCCCGCTCCTCTTCTCCGCGCCGGTGCCCGCTTGTGTCGTGGCCGTGGTCTGGGCTGGCGACTCCGGCTGCCCTGAGAACCACACCAGCAGTGGACTTCTCGTCTGCTTCGCTTCTGGTCTGCGTGGGCAGAGACACTCGTTCGTTCCTTCGTTCGTTCGTTCGTTCTTCCCCTCGTTCGTTCGTTCCTTCCTCGTTCGTTCTTCCCCTCGTTCGTTCGTTCGTTCGTTCTTCCCCTCGTTCGTTCCTTCGTTCGTTCGTTCCTTCGTTCCTTCGTTCGTTCGTTCGTTCTGCCACTGGTGCTCCTTCGTTCGTGCTTCCCCTCCGCAGCCCTCGGGGCGCGCAGGATTCCCCCTCCCCTCTGGGCCTCCCGCGTGGGGTGCGAGCGCGTGGGGTCGGAGGATCGCGCCGCATCGCCCGTGCGTCTCGATGCGTCCCCACGCCAGCCGCCGAGGCATCGGCGATTCGGCGCGATCCTTCGACCCCAAAGTGCTCGGACCCCACTGCGGAGGCCTCCCCCGCGCGCGCCAGGCGAGCTGGCCATCAGCGACGTCGTCGAGGCCCCGGCCTGCCAGAGCGGGGCGGCGGGGGGGGGGGGTCGGCCTGCGGCCCTCAGTCGCCTCTCTAGGGGAAGCTTTTTCCCAACCATCCTGGGGTTGGGTCCTCGTTTTGAGGAGACGGTCCCCGCGTCTCCTCTCCTCTCCTCCTCCCCCTCCTTGCCTCTGCCCTCATCAGTATGCAGTATGCGTCTCCCCCACCCAGTACAGCGCTTCGTGGCCCCATAGGGAGCTCCACCGAAGGCCCCAGTGGCTGCTCTCGCATGGTGGACCCCCAACGTGTACAGCGCTTCGTGGCTACATAGGGAGCTTCACCGAAGGCCCCAGTGGCTGCTCTCGCATGCGGGACCCCCCACCCTGTACGGCGCTTCGTGGCCGCATGGTGAGCTCCTCTGCCCTTATCAGTATGCGTCTCCCCCACCCAGTACAGCGTTTCGTGGCCCCACTCGGAGCACTACCGAAGGCCCCAGTGGCTACTCTCGCATGCGTTTTCCCCACGCTGTACAGCGTTTCGTGGCCCCTATGGGGAGCTGGGAGCTCCACCGAAGGCTTCAGTGGCGATGTCCACCTGCGGTTCCCCTACCCAGTACAGCGTTTCGTGGTCCCATAGGGAGCTCCACCGAAGGCCCAAGTGGCTGCACTCGCATGCGTTCCCCCCGCCCAGTGCAGCGCTTCGTGGCCCCATATGGGGGCCTAACCGAAGGCGGCCCCGCCCCATTGCGGCGCACCCCTCACACCTCACACGCTTCGCGGCCCCATAGTGGGTTCCGCGAAAAGCCCCAGTGGCAGCGCCCACATGGCGGCCCCTCCCCACATTGGCACACCCTTCGCATGCTTCATGCCCCCATGAGGAGATCCCTCGACGGTGATACCCGCAACGACGGAACTCACAACTGCATATGCTCGGGTCCTTCGCCAGGATGATTTTTTGTCGTGCTCTGGCCCAGCTTTGGACGGTGGCGGGGCCCGAAAACGGCTACCGTAGGCCGGAATGAAGGAGAAGTTCGGACGGAACTGCTCAGATGGACAGGAAGTGCTCGCGTCGCGAGGAAGAACCACGGCGGGATCGGACGGGGCTAGGACGAGGATAAGTCCGTTCCAGAACTCTCCGGGACGCGTTCAGGGACACTCTGAGAAGGCCGCGGTGCCCTTGTGGTTTTCGGCGCCTCTTTGGTTTTCGGTGCTCCTTTTGTTTTTCGGCGCTTCTTTGGTTTTCGGCGCCCTTTTGGTTTCGGCGCTCCTTCGGTTTTCGACGCCCTTTCTGTTTTCAGCGTTTCCTCGGTTTTCGGCGCGCCACTGGTTTTCGCACCATTTTGGTTTTTGGTGGCTCGTTGGTTTTCGGCGCTTTCTTGGTTTTCGGCGCCCTTTTGGTCTTCGGCGCCCCTTCCTTTAGCCAAAGGGGGGGGAGCTTTCAAGCTTCCCCCCTTAGCCTAAAAGCAGGGGAGGGGGGGGGCTTCCGGCAGGGTAGTTAAGCCCCCCCCCTTGTGAGTGTACCACTGGCGCGCTCTCTCATATCAAAGATTTCCTGACGCCGCAGGTTCCCATCCCGAGCTCTTCAGAACCAGGCAACTGTATAGTAATGCCCTGATCACCAAGTTCGATGCACGGGATCCCAAGAAGCGCGTGACTTCGCGCCGCAGGCATGCGCGCCCAAACCTCCAAACCGTTCTACTGGAGTGCCGCCACACCTCCACACACACACACACCTCCACACCCACACCTCCACACCTACACCTCCTCGCCCACACCGCCCACACCTCCAGACCCACACCTCCACACCCACACCTCCACACCCACACCTCCACGCCCACACCGCCCACACCTCTACACCCACACCTCCACACTTCCACGTGCCGTACCGCACGGCGGTGGCCAACATGCCCTGTGATCTAGGCTGCCAGCGTGCAGACGAGCAATCGACGAGGCGAGCAAGCAAGTAAGCAAGCGTGCATGCAAGCTGGCAGGCGTGGTTCGTATAGGCACGCTGGCCAGCATGCGAACAGGAGCGCTTGCCAGAACAATTGCTTGGCTAGCATGCTTACAGCTATGCGCGCAGGGCAGCGCGAAGGCATGACACCATGTAAGCTATTTTCGCTCTGCGTGCGAGTCAGCTGTAGTTGACGATAGTCGACGGGTCAGCCGTAGTCAGCTACAGGTCTGCGATTTGCTTGAGTGAGCGAGGCGGCCAGTGGCAGAATTTGTTGTCGCTGCTCAGCGAAATGCGGGAGTGCAATTTGGAGGCGAACGACATCAGTTACAACTTGGGCATCTCAGCGTATGAGAGGTCGTCTCGCAACTCGGCAGGATTCCCAGGTTATCTTGGGATCGGTCTTTCGCGTTGCCGAGTGTCTTGCGGAGCTTTGTGCGTGTTGGAACTTGATGGGCAATCACTGTGATTACGTGAACATCTGCCTTTTGAAGTTGGCAGCGGCGTTCGATCGCGCAGGAAGCCGCTTCGGATACCATTACATGGATCCGCCCTGCTTGGGTGCAGCGCTGAGGTCAGCACATGTGTGAGAGGCGTGCAGTGAAAGCCGGTCTTGCCGCTGCTCAGCGAGATGTCGGCTTTCAAGTTGGAGCCCAAAGTCGACAGTTCTCAGCGAGTTGCGGGATGCGATGTCGTAGCCAAAGGCTACAAGTGCTACAATTCTGGGCGACGTACGTGCAATATATGGACGGAGTGTACTAGCTCCGGGGCCCCCGACACTGGGCCAGGACGCTCCAAGGACGCCCCAAGCGGCTCGCAAGACCCAATGCACCCGCACGACGGATCAGGGTGATCTCGCGGCACTCCACAGAAGTTCCCACGATTCCCAAACTATGCACGATTGTCCCCAGATGCTTTCGAGAGGCCGAGGCCGCTTCTCAAGCCTCCCTCCTCGCTTCACTCTCCTCGCTTGACTGTCCTCGCTCCACGCTCCCCGCTCCCCGCTCCTCGCATTTCTCCTTGATCAGTCCTCGCTTATTCCAGATCCATCATCGAACCTGTCTCATCGCTCCTTGCTTCTCGCTCCTCTCTAATCGATCCACTCGCGAGCAGCAGTTTGCGTCAGCACCATCAGGAGTTCCGATTAAGCAGCACCCTGAAGCCTAAGAAGCAGCAGGAGCAAACAACAACAGTACGCAATCCGCAGCAACCGCTACCCGCGGCAGCACTCCAAAACAAAATAACACTCAGAACCAGCAGCAGTAGCAGAAGGAGGAGGAGGCGCAGGAGGAGGAGAGGTAGCAAGAGGAGGAGCAGGAGGAGGAGCAGCAGGAGGAGGAGAAGGGCTGCAGAGGAGGAGGAGGAGGAGGAGGAGGAGGAGGAGGAGGAGGAGGAGGAGGAGGAGGAGGAGGAGGGGAGAGAGGAGGGGAGAGGTAGCAAGAGGAGGAGCAGGAGGAGGAGCAGCAGGAGGAGGAGAAGGGCTGCAGAGGAGGAGGAGGAGGAGGAGGAGGAGGAGGAGGAGGAGGAGGAGGAGGAGGAGGAGGAGGAGGAGGAGGGAGGGGGAGAGAGAGGAGGAGAGGGAGGAGGAGGAGGAGGACGAGGAGGAGAGGAGGAGGAGGAGGAGGAGGAGGAGGAGGAGGAGGAGGAGGAGGAGGAGGAGGAGGAGGAGGAGGAGGAGGAGGAGGAGGAGGAGGAGAGGAGGAGGAGGAGGGAGGAGGAGGAGGAGGAGGAGGAGGGGAGGAGCAGGATGATGATGATGAGGAGGAGGAGCAGCAGGAGGAGGAGGAGGAGGAGCAGCAGGAGGAGGAGAAGGGCTGCAGAGGAGAAGGAGGTGGAGGAGGAGGAGGAAGAGGAGGAGGAGGAGGAGGAGGAGGAGGAGGAGGAGGAGGAGGAGGAGAGGGAGAAGGAGGTGGATGAGGAGAAGCAGGAGGAGGAGAGGAGAAGGAGGTGGAGGAGAGGAGGGGGAGGAGAAAAAGGGGAGGTGGAGGAGGGAGGAGGAGGAGGAGGAGGAGGAGGAGGAGGAGGAGGAGGGAGGAGGAGGAGGAGGAGGAGGAGGAGGAGGAGGAGGGAGGAGGAGGAGGGGGAGGAGGAGGAGGAGGAGGAGGAGGAGGAGGAGGGAGGAGGAGGAGGAGGAGGAGGAGGAGGAGGGGGAGGAGGAGGAGGAGGGTGGTGAGTGAGAGGTAAGAAGGGGGAAGGCGAAGTGGAAGATGTGGCGAGGCCATGCTGGTCATCGACCCAGCCTTCGATGGCCGGGTGAACTTCCCTGTGCTGTCCCACGCCCTGGCCGCGACACAGCGCGTGCACAAGCAGAAGGCCCCGAGGGTGTGATTGCAGCCAGCACGAAGGTTGAGAACAGCCCCAGTTTGGGAGGAGTGCCTTTCATCTTGCACTTCAGCTTGGAGTGGTCTTCACCGTTTGTATCTCCATGGAGCCGCAGCCGTCTGCGAAGGGCCCCATGTTCTTGACCCACGTTCTTGCGGCCACGCTTCAACCGTACCTCTGACTATGATCGCCGCTACGCCTTGCTACATAACCTCTTTGTCGTGCCAGTGGGGGTTCGCCGGGGCCGCCGCCGTGGCACGCTATGCAACAGGTCCTGGCCGTAGCCACTGTGAGCCCCAAGTTGTGAGTTATTGCACCATGGATGTGCAAGCCTTTGGGTGTAAGTTATGTGGTGACTGCTATGCTGCGAAAGCTGTGTGGTGGGAGCTGAGGAAGTGGAAACTAGGCGGCGGAAGCTCTGTGGTGTAAGCGATGTCGTGAAAGCTAGGCGGTGTGAGCTGGAATCTGGAACTGTGAGTGCAGTCTGTGTGATGTAATCGATGTGGTGCAGCACGGTGCGGCGTAGGGTGTGTGTGGCGTATAAACCGACATCTGGTGCAAGCCAGGTGGCGAAAGCCATGCCGCCGTGTAAGCCCAGAGCCCGGGGTGCCCACGGGGCGGCAACGTGGCGCCACCAGGGCATGCCCCCCCCCCCCCCCCAGCGAACGGGCCGCCCCCGAGGCGCCCATGAGGCGGCAACGTGGCGTGGCGTCCACAGGTGGCGCCACACCTCGGCCTCCCCCCAACACATCTGAGACGAAGGTGTGCGCGGCGCCAGGGCGAGAGCCGCACTGTGAGGAGGAGCCGGCCCCCCCCCCCCCTCCTTGAAGCCGCCGCAGACTGCTGAGGCGAACGCGCGTGCGCAGCGAAGGGAGAGAGCCACACTCCGAGCCCAGCGCAGGCGAGAGATCCCCCCCCGGCGCAGGCGGCGCCCACCCGGCGCCGCGGGCGGCAGCGTGGCGCGGCCTCGGCGCCCCCGCCACCTCGGCGCGCGGGGCGTCCGCGAGGAGGCGCCCCCACGGGCGGCAGCGCGTGGCGCAGCCTCGCGGCACACACCCCAAAAGCGCGGGCCCGGGGACCACGCCGGTCGACTCGGCTCGACGAGTGTCGGGGGCGGCAAAGAGGGGGGGATGACTAGGGGGGGTCGGATATCACGGCGGGGGCCACGATATTTCCCGGGATTTCATGGCGCCTCTTCTTGTTCCATTGCGTCCCTGGCCCCCCCGCTGGGTCGCGCACATGCCGCCGGTCATGATTTGCACCCCCCCTCTTGGACACCCCCCTCTTGGCCGCTCCCGAAAGTGGCGCGGAGAGATGGGGTCTGCGACTCCCGTCGCGATGTTCCGCGACGTGGCAAGGCCTCCGCAGCGTCGGATCTCAGGGGGAGGGGGAGGTCCTCAGGCATGCGTGCGCCGCGCAAGGATCGCAGCGGGAGGTCTGTGGCCGTTTTCGGCCTCCGGGGTGCCCTCGCGGGGTGCCCTCGCGTGGCCGCGGGACCGTCAGAAGGCAGCTCGGGGAAGGGTCGGGATTCCCAGAGCCCCCGTCTTGAACACATCCAGGCCACGGATGTCTGGGGGCAGCTCTCCTCGAAGAGCAAAACGTGAGCATAAGCATACAAACGTGCGGGGGCTGGATCGGCGCCAGACGCGCCTCTCCAGGCGCGCGGAGCGCGCCAGAGGCGGCGCTGGAGGCGCCGCCAGGGGGGTCCTGCGCCGATCTGAGAAATCCGCGCGGACTTTCGAACATGTTATGGTTCTACTGCCTTTTTTCTCCGAGTTGCGTTGCGAGCAGCCGCTTTGAGGTCGATCCCGTGTCTTGCTGCGAGCGGGCTTTGTGCAGGTGGCCGTCGGCGAGTAACCGAAGCAGCTCGACCACAGTCCAGGCCATATTGCTTTGTGTCTGCTTGCCGGCATCCCGACCCTCTTCTGTCTCGTGCCAGCGGGTTCAGGTCAGCGCGCAGGAGATGGCCGCCAGGCAGGATCAGCACATCGAGCACAACACCTACCACTCGTCTCTTCCGGTCGACGTGGTAAAGGCGCTTGACTGGGCACGGTTTTGTATTCTCTCCGCCTTGCCGCAGATGGGCTGCAAAGCGCTTGAGTTGAGGTGTCTTTCCGCGTTGGTGAAGGCACTTGATTGGGGACGACTTTGTGCTCTGTCCTCATCGTCGCACGTGGGCTGCGAAGCACTTGCATTGATGTGTCTTCCAAAGTTTTGGATGCGCTCTCGCCGCCAATGCTGGATCTGGCCTGGACAGGATCTCCGAAAGCCGTCAGGAGTCCTTCTCGACGTGATCCGGATTTCTAGTCACACCGTGAAGCCTCATAGACCTGATAATGAACCGCTTGTACAATTCTTGACGCTTCGCGTATCCCCACCAGCCCTTTGGCGGCTTCCTTGTGGCCTGGCCCTCACTAATTATCTGGCATTGCGCCCCTGTGCCGTGTTGAACTCGCCTATGGACTTTTCCTTGCGGGCCGCCGAACAGAAAAAGTATCCCCACCAGCATCCAGTAACGATTACCAGGTGAGTTGGTTAATCAGGGACGCCTGGAAGCAAGCGGTCGCACAACCGTTTTGGAAGCGTCCAAACTGGGTGGGCAGTAACCTGGGGCCAGAAAACAAGGACCACAAGTAGCTTCCCGCACTGAAGCTTAGGAAAGAAATCAATGCAAGATGCGCCATGGTGTTCACTGTGTGAAGCAGGTCTGGCGCAGCTTGCTGTATCTACGATCCGACTCCAGTGGTGCGCAGAGTAGAGTTGTATTTCGATGTACGTCTTCGATCTTAGCTCTTGCACTGCATTGTATTTGAAACCCGCGTGCGTTTTGGAATTGCTTTGGTGCTGGTGCTACTGCCGGTGCTGCTGCTGATGCTGTTTCCGATGCTCGTGCCGTTGATGTTGTTGCTGCTGTTACTGGTGCTGAAGCTGGTGCTGCTGCTGGCGCTGCTGCTTGTGGTGCTCCTGCTGGTGGTGGTGCTGCTGCTGCTGGGGCCGTCTTGGGGGTAGGTGGAGTCGTATGAGGGGGAGGATGCGGAGGAGGAGGAGGAGGAGGAGGGGGAGGAGGAGGAGGAGGAGGAGGAGGAGGAGGAGGGGGAGGAGGAGAAGGAGAAGGCGGAGGAGGACAAACACGTAAGGAGGACGGGAAGGAGGAGGAGGAGGAGGAGGAGGAGGAGGAGGAGGAGCAGGAGGAAGGCAGCGCGAGGAATATTAAGATGAGCACGGAGGCGGCAGGAAAGAAGCAAGGACAGAACGGACGATGAAAAGGAGACGAGAAGTCGAGCTTTGGGAATGTGTCGTGGCGAGGGGTTCTTCGAAGACTCGTAATGCCATTTGGGCGCCATCTTGGGGCCCTCTTGGGGTCCTCTTGGGGCTTGGGGCTCTCTTGGGGGGTCTTGGAGCCCTTTTGAGGCTCTTTGGTGGGGTCTGGGAGGCCTCTTGGGGCCGTCTAGTGCCCCGCTGTTCAAAAATAGGGGGATTCTTAGTTCCCGTCGCCCCCTCGGAGGCTCACAAATGATGTTTTGGGGCCCTCTTGGCCCGCTCTTGGATCGCTGTTGGGCACTCTTGGGGCCGTCTTGGGGGCCTCTTGGACCCCTCTTGGGGCTACATAAGGCCGTCTTAGGGCCATCTCGCGGCCTCAAAAGCCCATCGGAGGCGAAAACACGAGAAGGCCAAACACATGGATTTCCCTTCAGGTTTTTGAAGGATGTTGGCCTCTGGGGGGGTCATTGGAGGGCTCGGAGGGCACTTGAAACCGTCTTGGGGCCGCCTTGAGACCTCTTGGATGCGTGTCGGAGGCTGTCTTGAGCCATCTTGAGGTATCTGGGGCGATCTTGGAGGCCATTCTGCGTTATCTAAAGCCCTCTTGGAGTTATCTTAGGCCAAAAAGGACGCTTTGACACATCGCGGGGGAGCCCGTCCAGACCCAGGGAGGGGGGGTGGAGGTAAACCTCCCGAGCAGGGAAAGGAAGGAGGTTGGAAAAGGAAACGCGCTAGACCACCGGCGCTCAGAGGGCTGGTGGGACTACACTGTTGACCAGCGATGCCAGTACTTTTTTGTGCTGCCATCTTCAGGACATGCGAGGACACGCGGTATATATATATATGTATATATATATAAATATATATATATATACATGTACACATATATACACATCGTGTTGCAACTCATACTCTGTTATCACCAGTCTGCGTCTTATTAGTCTTTTTTTCTGTCTGTCTTCTCAGCCGGAAGCCTCAAGGTCTTGCGATTCCTTTGAATTTTCTCCGAATCAGTATGCTTTTGTTCCTTTTAGTGTCTGACCCTCGTCTTGTCCGTATGAACTTCGACGGGCGAGCTCGTTTGAGCACTGCTGTACCTGTTGCGCGTTCGTTGCCGCAGTGTTCCTTCGAGGCGCTCGCATGCGTCTCCTGATGCTGGAAGCCCGATCGGCCATAATGGACGGTGGCCGAGAGGAGCAGGAAGACGACGTGGAGGGACGGCAGAGGGGAGGAGGACGGGGTGGGCGTGGAGGAGGAGCACTGTGGGTGGGCGGGGGAAGGTCGAGGAGGATGAACAGGGAGAAAGGGAGGGTGGGAGGGGGAGGAGGAGAAAGGGGGGCGGGGAGGAGGAGGAGGAGGAGGAGGAAGACAGGGCCAGAGCAAGCCCGGCACACGCAAACGCCACTGGTTCTGCAGTGCCCCCTGTCAGGCCCCATGTCTCGAAGGCCAACAGAGCAATTTCTAGTCACTCGCATGACCACCCGCTGACAGGGTGTGGGTCCTACGGGCCCGCAGAGCGGGATTCCTGTGTGTATTGGGACGCCAATCAACGCTCACACGTCAAGGTCCGACCAAAAACGCTACCACATGAGTGCAGACTTTCGGGCAGTTGCCTCCATCCGTGGGGTCTTCAGATGCGAGGGAGCCTCGGTTGAGAGCCGGGTTTTGGAGAAGGGACCGCCCTGCACTTGCGAGTCGGCCGGAGGTTTCAGAATTCCGGATGGTGCAACGTGAGGGTATCCCATCGCGGATCGAGATCTTGACCCGACCCCCGCCATCGAAAGCCGCCGATCACCTCTCGGCCCAGTGACCAGGGCCCCCAGAGGCCGGAAGTTGAGAGAGGCACGCCTCCGCGCTTCTAAGTTCGACGCCGGGGCGTGGGCGTCGGGGAGGGGCCCGAGGACCAGGACCCAGGCCCGCCGGGGGGCTTCCTCGTCTCCCCGCCAGCGCTTCCTCGCCCCCGCCCCCCCCCCTCTCTTCCTGCTCCTCCCTTTGCCCTCCTGCGCCCACGGCCGTGGGGCGCCCTTGCGGCTCTGTGGGGGTCCTCCTCTTTCTCCTCCTCTTCCCAGGTTGCCCAGATATCCGACGATGTGACTCTTGGGCTTACGCCACACCGCCGACTCCTTGGGAAGCTGGCGGCTGTTGTGTGTTGCTCCTGTGGGCCTCTTGTTCGCCTTTTGGGGGCTTCTTGGAGCTCTTTTGGGGTTTCATGGAGGCCTCTCGGGAGCCTTTTCGGGGCCTCTTGGGCCATTCTTGGGCTGACATTTTTAGCATTCGCCGTGCACGCAAGGGGAATGGGCGATAACCTGCGTGCAGACGGAGGGCACCTGTCAAAACACCCGACGAATCATTATCGAATTCAGAGCGTGAATTACCTACACCGCTTTCGCTTGCAGGCAAAACCAAGTTATACCACGCGCCTCCTCGTCAAGCGGCCTGACCAGTACAGGCCGTAGTTTGGCATCGCTAGGTATCTCTTGGAAGCGAGGGTGGTCAAAAACGAGGTAGATTTGTTTGCCCCCTACCAATGGCCTTCGGCACATCCCGCCACCGTGCCTGGGTTGCGGGTCTGAGGCCGCTCGGATGGTTGATGGGGTATCGTGGGAGGCGTATCGGGGGCTTCTAGGAGGCAGTTTTTCTCAACCCTCCTGCGTTGGGCACTCGTTTTGAATAGAACACTCTCCGCGCGTCTTCTCCTTTCCCATGCCCCCCTCCTCCTCTCCTCTTCTCTCCTGCCTCTCATCTCGCTCCTTCCAGCGTGCCCGCTTGCCTCCTGCGAGACGGTCGCCACTTTCGAGGGCTGCTGGGGGGTCCAGCGGGGTGACGTCTTGCCCAGACCACCAGGAGACCTCGCCATCCCTGTGGGGCTGCGATCTGCGAAACGGTCGCCACTTTCGAGGGCTGCTGGGGGGTCCAGCGGAGTGACGTCTTACCCAGACCACCAGGAGACCTCGCCATGCTTGTGGGGCTGCGATCTGCGGAACGGTCGCCACTTTCGAGGGCTGCTGGGGGGTCTAGCGGAGTGACGTTTGACCCAGACCACCAGGAGACGTCGCCATGCTTGTGGGGCTGCGATCTGCGAAACTGTCGGCACTTGCGAGGGCTGCGACCATCAGGAGACCTCGCCATCCCTGGGGTCCGGCGGAGTGGCGCCTTTTTCTGTTACCTGGCGGTTGTTTCGAGGTCCAGGGTCGTCATAGTCTTGGCAGAGGTGCAGGGATAGATTTTGAGGGGTCCATTTGGCGGCGGAGGAGGAAAGGCGGAGGAGGAGGAGGTGGAGGAGGAGGAAGGTGAAGACGAGGAGGAGGAGGAGGTGGAGGAGGAGGATGAGGAGGAACCGGGGGTGGAGGTCGGGCACGTGCTGCCGCGGCGGCGCCAGCACGGCTCTTGCACTAAATATTGGCAGGTTGAATCATTGTTTCGAACGCCGCGGCGACATGGCGCAGGCAGCGCTGCATATTTTGCGTACTACCGACTAAAGCAACACTCTTCGGTCTCCTCCCGTCACTGTCGTCGTCGTCCTCTGCCCCCTGCCACCAACCATCTGCTTGCTGCCGCGCTGAGGGTTTGTCCCCCCGCGCGTGCTTCTCCTGCCCTTCGTTCCCGCCCCCATGTCATCCTCGAGCCTGGGCCCTCGCTCCTTGTCCTTCTGCTGTTGTCTTGTTTGTTGTCTTGTGAATCATGCCACGTGCGCGTATCCCATGTACCTCGAACGACATATAACGGTGCCTGCATTGTCATTGTCCTGGCAAGTTTGGGCCAACTCCTCTTGCCACTGAATGCAACTGGGTTGGGTACGTCACACGGTAAAATGGGGCACGCGTGGAGAAACGGGCGGTAACCCACGTATACAAACGGAGGGCATCTGTCAAACCACCCGACGAATGATCATCGAATGGCTGTCGGCACATCCCGCCATCGTGCTTGGGTTGCGGGTTTGAGGCCGCTCAGATGGCTGATGGGGTCTCGTGGGAGGCGTATCAGGGGCGTCTTGGAGGCAGTTTTTCAACCTCTATAGGGGCCTCCTGTTGGGGGGCTTTCACCAATTCGTGCCCCTCGTGGGCCAGCCCAAGAGCCTCTTGGGGCCCTTTTGACCTGTTTGGGGACGCTCTGCCCCCCCGGATGCGTTCACTCACCTCTCGGGGGAACCCCCCTCCTCCAAGTCGACCATACCGGGCCCACGATGAATCGCCAGGGGTCGGGATTCTACCAATGCGGGCGAGTGTTCTTCGAGTTCGGCCTCCGCAGGGCCCGTGATCTGGTCCCGGTGTCCCATCACGAACGGATCCGGGGTGCAAGGCACCCCTCGGGAACGCGTCGGGGCCTCTGGGTCCGCGGGTTGAGAAAGCCTGTTCGGAGGCTGTCAGGGGTGTGTGTGGGGGGGGTGGTAGGAGGCAGGCCTGCGCAGTGTCTTACAGCCGCGCGTGGCTCCTGACCCCCTCGAGCCATGGCGCCTTCCCAGACCCCGGCGTCGTGACTCTTTCACGACGTCGACCCCAAGAGGCCTGGACCCCCCCTCCTGGGGACCGGCTTCTCAATTCTGAGTCGTCGTTCGACGGCCCCAGGGCCCTGGGAAGGGCCCCCGGAGGCCGAAAGTGGCTACAAATCCTCCCGTTGCGATTTTTCCCGCAGCGCGAGGAGGTCTGGTTTTGAGACGAGGTCAGCATGCTGTTGCAGTACTCTCCAGCGGGCGGCCCGCCGAAACGCCCCTGCAGAGTGTGCCGTTCGTTTGAGGGGGAGGAGGAAGAGGAGGAGGAGGAAGGGGAGGAGGAGCTGGACCAGTCTAAACCCTGCTTCTCCTCGTCCTCCCCTCCCGCCTCCCTGTCAGAGGCAACGACAGGGGGGGGATAGGCATAACGGGGGGCTGCATCGACCCCCGATCGCCCACTGATCGCCGATAGTGGCCCGATTGCCCCAACCTGCCCAGGTACGTGCGGATTCACCATCGGGGGCCTATCGCCGATCCAACGGCCATGTGTTGCCGATTCCAGGTCGACGTTCCCCCCCGAATGTCCATCCCCCTATCTTTGCCCCGCCTCCTCACCAGGTGGACTGGCGCTCCAGGTCGCTCTTCGACTTCGAGAGGGACTTCGAGAAGTTCAGGCGCGGGCCACGGGGCGAAGGGGGGGCCCGCTGGGGACAGCCGTGGGGACACGAGGGGGGTGTCTCAGCGGGGGGCGGCGGCATCGCTCGGACGTGTGCATTTTTTTCGGGCGAGGGCCATCGAGGAGCATATTTCGGCGGCGAGCGAGAGGGGGGGGAAGTGAGAAGGAGAAGAAGGCCTTTCTCTGAAGACGGGGGGGTTCTCAGAGGCGCTCTGGCCTTTGAGAGGTCCTCCGTGTCTTCGGGGAAGGCTCACAATACTTTTCAGAGGGCCGGGGGACTTCCGAGCCTTCTGAGAAGGTCTGCCCATCCTCACTATTCCCTGGGCCTGAAGGCGAACATTTGATCATCTTACAATATATATATATATATATATATATACATATGCGCACGAAATCGACAAATGCATGGGGAATGGGCGTCCGTGCGATGGCGAGAGGGTGGGATCTGGGATGAGAGTGGAGGGGGGGCCTGATGTCCCAGCTCTTGGAGCCCTCTGGGGCCGGAGGTGGCCCAGCACTGGTTCTGGCCAGCAGGAAGGGCGGGCAGGTTCGAGGTTCGGGTTGGCTCTTTGCCTCTTGCGGCCTCCCGGGGTCGCTCTCGGACCCAAGGACAATGAAAAACGGCTCCGCGGTGAAACATTGCACCAGATGGACCCCGGGGGCGGTCCCGAAGCCGATTTTGAACGGGTTCGGCTTCATTCCCCCTCCTGACCGATTTTCTCTGGCCCCTACCACTTCAGACCTCCTGGCTGCCTCCAATTCCCAGCTCTTCCACACGGCGAGGGCCCCTGACCCACCCCCGACCGAAGCGGAAACCCGGGGGGCAGGCATGGGCCATGCAGTGCCGCCTGCGATCCGATGCGATGCGATTCGATCCGCGGGCCCGGGGTCGAGTTCGATCCGATTCGATCCACCCGCATTGGCTTGGCCCCTCGGCCGGAGAGGGCGCGCTTTCGGATCGCACTTGCCCCGCGGCCCCCACGCCTCCTTCCCCGTCCCCTCCCCGAGGCACCAGCAGCGCACGCTCCTCGCGCAGCACAACGAGGCCCTCGGTGCCGTCGTCATCGTCGTCGTCGTCGTCGTCGTCGTCGTCGTCGTCGTCGTCGTCGTCATAGGAGGAGGAGGAGGAGGAGGAGGAGGAGGAGGAGGAGGAGGAGGAGGAGGAGGAGGAGGAGGAGGAGGAGGAGGAGGAGGAGGAGGAGGATATTTTTGTTCAACAGGACCAAGGCTCTGGGAGTCTCACGCCAAACGCCCAGAGCGGCACGAGAAGCATTTTTTCCCGTGCAACAAAGCAACAAAAGGGCGACCTCGCCTCGGCGAGCGCCTTGGGGAGGGGGCTTCGCGAGCTCCTGTCGGATAGCCCACTGTGGCCCCCTCCCCTCACGGCTCGACCCTCGGCTCAGACACCAACAGCAGGGCATCCGTCGGCTATACCAGACAGGAGCCACTCTTGAGGGAGGGAGGCGACGGGGTGCACAGGTGGGGGAGGACATGGCAGACCTCCCCCGTGCCCCGACGCTCTCGGGAAAAGAGGCGCCCCCCTCTGAGCAGCGGTCGCCGCAGGGGAAGTATTTCCTCCGACGCCCCACGGCCGTGCGAGCCGGGGGAGCGTGGACAGCACGCAGCAGTGCAGAGGACGGCCTCGGGGACCCCGGATCGATCCCGCCGCGTGAGTCCATCGACCGCGCCCAAATTGAAAAGGAGCGGCCCCTCTGAGCAGCAGTCGCCGCGAGGGGAGAAGGACCTCCAGCGCCCCACGGCCGTGCAAGCAGGGGGAAGTGGGCAGCACGCAGCATGGAAAAGGACGGCCACTGAGGACCCCAGATCGAACCCGCCGCGCGAGACCAACGGCCGCCGCACTTAGGAAGAGAGCGGCCCCCCTGTGCAGCTGTCACCACAGGGGGAGAATGACCTCCAGCGCCCAGCGGCCGTGCAAGCAGGGGGAGTGGACACACACGCAGCAGTGAGAAGGACGGCCACAGGGACCCCAGATCGAACCCGCCGCGCAGGTCCAGAGACCGCAGAGCAATCTATACACTGCACCCGATGGGGTGCTGATACGCGTAAAGAGGACAAAGCTAGTAATCGCGGCTTCAATCCGAGTCAGTAGAATCCATATCCCGCACCAGCCCCCCCCAAACATCGTCGGACAAATCCGAAGTCAGGGAGTGTGAGGATTGGCCGTCCAGGCCATGTCAGAAAGACCCGCGGGCGCCCAGCTGTCGGTCTTACTCAGAACTCCGTCCGCACGGCTAGCAGCACTCGATGCGGCACTTGGTGGGGGCTGGGCGGCTTCAGACCGCGCGACGCCTGGGATCATGTGGGACAGGGCGTATTCGCGGCGGTCCTTCGACAGTGACGCGTCGTGCGTAATTGTTGTGGGCCCGCCGTATCCAGGAAATTGAAAACGCTCGATGCGTGCGAGGTTCTCCGCCCCCTTCTTCGAAAGGGGTTGGCAGGCAGGCGGCAAATGCCGCGGGTCCACCACTGCCGAGCGGCCGCATCGGGCACAGAAAACATGCGAGTGCTTTGGCCAGACCTGCAGCGCATGCGACGGATGAAACTCCTTCCCTCCGACCCGAACTCCCGACCCCGTTGCCCGAATCTCATCCACATTTACTTGCAAGGCCACTTTGCAACATGCGGTCGGCCTGCACGCCGCGATACACTCCGCTTTGCTAGCAGGCTTTGGCACAATTGTGTAACAGGTACTACAACTAAATTTCTCAGGACCACGCAAGACGAACCGATGCTGGCTGGCTAAAATCATATCAGTAATCGAGACACTACTCAGGCGCTCAGCGGGCACTGGTTCGCGCTCGCGCTCTGACAGACCGAGTCTCTGCCAGCGTTGCAACAGTTTGCCCGCCAGCTTACAAACCGCCTTAGACATTCTGGTACATAGCGTCAACGCATCTTGCTCTTGTTCCGAGGCTACTGGGTGAAGGTTGGCTCCTGCCTTCGAGGCTTTGTCAGCCGAGTCGTTGTCTCGCCTGCGCCATGCCTCTCGGGGTTCTATTCCAATCTAGATGGGGTCGAGGTGGGCCTTGATTCTATAGGCTTACGCCACATCCGCCGACCCCTCATCTTGGCGGTCTTGCCGGAACCTCGGGTTCACAGCCCGCAGTTGCCAGGCGTATCAGTGCGGCGGCGCGTGCAAGAGAAGACTACCGACGTCGGCGTTCTCCGGGAACCCTGCCAACGTCGCACGCGATGCAAAAAAGGGCACCCTGATATGCAAGACCTGCAAATGATGCCCAATCGGGGGCGCGCGTGCGGGGGAGGACAGGGGGGAGGGGGAGAGAGGGATGGGGGGTGAGGCGGAGGATGGGGGGAGAAGAATCGGGGAGGAAGAGGAGGAGGCGGGGGAGGAAGAGGAGGAGTGGGCGAGGAGGAGGTGGAGGAGGAGGAGAAGAGGGGGAGGACGGGGACACAGAGACGAAACTCTGGGATATGTGCTATTGGTTAGAAACTTGTTGTATGTGTATAGGGATCTCGCGGCACGCCTCTCGGGGACCTTTGGAAAGCAGTTTTGAACCCACCTGGCGGCCGAGGTGGAGGAGGAGGAGGAGGAGAAGGAGGAAGGGGACACAGAAACAAGGCTCTGGGTTATGGGTTTTGGGTTAGGGCCGTCTTGCACCAGCTTGGGACCAATTTGGAGACAGGTTTTGCCGTCTTGGGGTCGTCTTAGGCCGAATTGGGAGGCGTCCTGGGCCGTGTTGGGATTCTCTGGGGCCGTCTTGAGGCCCTCTTGGGGCGCCGTGGGGCGATCTTGGAGGCTCTTTGGGCTACGTGAGCCGACGGAAGCCGGGAAAGGCAACAATTGCAAACATGTTCAACAACGCAATGGAAATGTAATGAAATGCGTAATGTGCGCCTCTTTCAGATGTCCTGGGGGTCTTCTTGGAGACTTCGTGGGCGATAGTGAAAGCCTTGTCGGCCATCTTGAGGCCATTTTGGGCCGTCTTCGAACGTTCTTGGGCCGTGTTGGAGCCATCTTGGGCCGTTTTGGAGCCATCCTGGGCCGTTTTGGAGCAATCTTGGCCTCGAGAGCGCGAATCATTTTTTTGTGCGCAAACGCAACCCCGCCACCGTGCCTGGGTTGTTGATATGAGACTTGTGCGGTGATCGTTGGGATCTCTTGGGGGGCTTTTCGCGGGACTCTTGGAGGCAGTTTCGAAGCCTCTTGGGGGCCGTTTTGGAGCCTCTTGGGGGCCTCTTGGGGCCTCTTGTGGGCGTCTTGGGGGCCTCTTGGGGCCTCTTGGGGCCTTCTGGGGCCGCCTTGGGGCGGAAGGCTCGGATTGTCGGTTCGGGCTCCCCCTCTTGGGCACCTCTTGGGGCCGTCTTGGGGCCCTCTTGGGCTGTCTTGGGGGCCTCTTGGGCCGTCTTGGCGCCCTCCTGGGCCGACTTGGGCGCCTCTTGGGGGCCTCTCGGGGCGGTCTTGGGGTGCTCTGGGACCGTCTTCAACGCCGTGAAGGCCGAGAAGTAGTATGTGATCAAAATGTACGTTTTCCCATAGGAATTGACGATTTTCGGCGCTTCGGCCCTTCTGAGGACTGCTCTTGGAGGCGTCTTGGGCCGTCTTGGAGGCCTCTAGGCTCGTCTTGGGGGCATCTTGGGCGTCTGGGAGCGCTCGTTTGGCGCCTCGGAGCTCTCGTGAGCCGTCTTGGAGGAGTCTTGGGGCCTTCTTGGCCCGTCTTGATCCCCTTTTGGGCCCAAAAGAGCCCCGTGGTGCGCTCGTCTGCGGCCCGGGGGGGGGGGGTCAAATCTCCGGTTTGGGGTCCCAGGGGGGGGGTTAGGGGGGGGGAACTATCTCACACGCCTAGAGACCCACAAGGGGTCGGCGGACTTCACAGACCTCCGAGATAGTTTGGGGACCTTGTTGGAGCAAGATCATGGAACCATCGTGGGGCGCGGGAAGGGAGCGAAAATAGGCGCGCAAATAGTGCGCTGCTCAGCCCCGTCCTCGTCGACCAGGCAATGTCCATGCCTGGCCCTCGAAAGCTCCGAGACAGGATGATTGAAACAGCGCCCATCTACACAGATCGAACCGCAGAAACTTCACGATCAGGAGGGGGAGCGTGCCACGCAACCTTCGCCTCGAAATCTTTGGGCCGAACCTGGGGGCCCGTCGCCAGGGCGAGGGGCGCCCCCCCGTGCAAAACGGGCGCTCAGTCAAGGGGTCCGACGGATCAGCTGCGGCAGCGGCGTCGATCATATCTTGATCGATCAGCTCGGCTCTGAGCTCATTATGGCAAGGACACTCGCAGAGCCTGTGAAACGGCGTATCTGGCGCCTGACCGCATTGATCGCAGCGACCATAGCCCAGGGCGTAGCTGGCTTGGACGGCGCGGCTTTTCGTCCGCAGACCGTCGCAACGCAGACTACGAATCTTGGCGTTCTCCATCGGCGACCAGCGTTTCGATCGAAGCTGCCCTTTGACGACGACAAGACACATTCGATCGCATGGGAGGCCAAGCTCGTCGCTGGAGTCTCGATCAAGCGTACGAAGCCCGCGTCGCGAAGCAGTGTCTCGAGTGACGCTGGTGCCACCAATGTTAGTTGGGCAGGTTCGCCGAAGTCCGAGACAAGGGTCACGAAGTCCGACGTGCTCCAGCTGACCCTAGCAACAGACAAACGCATGGCTGTCAAGGGCCCACTGACTTTTCTCCACTTGGGCGTCGGCCCTTGAAAGGCCTCGTTCCAAAACTGCATCAATGTGGGAAGAGAGTGGGCGCGAGGGTGCGCGCTGGCATGGGCGGCCCGAACCTCTTTGCTGCATCTGACAATGGGGGCAACAGAACCGATCCTGGTGGGGTCGTCCTGGGCGAGAAGGGTGGAAGCAAGGGATCTGCCCCCCGCTCTAGGCTTCGAAACTCCCCCCGCTTCACGACGGAGTTTCGCGAGCTCGAAATCCGAAATGCCATGCACTTCGGCTCCGTAAAGAGTTGCAGGCAGCGCTCCCGAGACCTTGATCCGCTTCGCGAATCTACCGGGCTGGGAGGAGAGCCTAACCATTTGTTCGAGTGGTACTCTTAAGGTGGT